AATAAAAATGAAAGCTAAAGAATTTAAGGACAACTTTAATCACACAATCAGTTAACAACAAGAAGTTTGCAGAAGATAAATATTATGATAAATTAGTTCACAACACGGACGTGAGCTTCAATATTTTTTAAAAAGCATGCATTTTTTTAATTTATTGTTAATAATGACGAACAATTATTTTCCTTTTTTTGGTATAATCTGAAAATAGATAACATGGATAGGCTACTTTCCAGCATTTGTTGCACATACTTTTGATTTAACAATGTCTTCTACTTGTATTGGAGGACCTTTGTATCTAAGTGTTAACTGTACAATTCTTTCAGCTTCCCTAACACCACTCAAACGAGCTCCCTCAACAGTAGCAAAATGTCCAGGTACGGTAGCTTCTCCGGCGAAAAGGAGTATAGGCGGTATTGGATCACTGGGCCCGGGCAACGGGCATGCTAACTCTCTTTGGGCCTGTCCGTCCGTACAATTACAATCATAGGAGTAAGCGCCGCAAAAGAAAGGATCGGAAATCCAATGTGATCTTAGCACAGTAGCTGGGTACGGTAAATACATGTTACCTGTCGATATCCTTAATACGTCAGTTATATCTTCAGCTACATCTTTGTCGGATAAAGCCTCCATCAACATTGCTTCTGTGCCCATCACCCATATGCATAATACGTGACTACTATTAGGAACCATTTCGATGGCTGTAATACCCCTAGTCCAATTCGACTTATAGGAAAGTTCGTTGTTGCGGTAATTGAAGTTTAAATTTCCTTTATGCCAAAAGTAAAATGGTCGGCAGTATTCCAAAAATATTTTATTACAATATCCATATCCAAGGCATCGCATTGCATCCATCTTTGAAGCAGGCAACGTTGGACAAAATAACCTGCCCGAGTTGATACATAACACCCCGAGTGATACCGTAGTAATAACGTAATCAGCGGGAAATTCCTCTCCGTCAGTTGCGCATACAATAGCCCGGTGACCTGCCCTTTGTGATGTTCCCCAATAGATACTACTAACTGGCTTGCAATAACGTATTACTCCTTCGGGTATTTGTCGAAGTAAGGGTGCTAATGTTCCAATTAACCCTAACGGAACTCTTACTTCACCACCGGGCATGTTCATATAGCATCCGGATTGATCTGCGCCAAGCATTGCTGTGTCATTCGAACAGCGAGCACTTAACATATGCCCGAGTCCAAACATTATCCTGGCTGCGTCATGTTGCTGTTCTGGTGGATAGTCGTGCAACTCTTGTTGTATTCTAAGACTCATGAAATTAATTAATGACCCGTGTTGTTTATTACCACCATGGCAGAATAGGTGAGCCGCTTCTTCTTCTATCTGACGAAACTTATAATAAGCATATATTGTAGGAGGAAATGCCATTTTTCCATTGACAACTCTATTAAAAAGCCCTCTTGTATGAACAGCGCCAGGTACTCCAGGACGCGGTGGATTTTCAGTTGCAGCTAGAGCATGGATTGGATGAGTGAACATGTTATCGGATCTCCAATGAGCTCCGAGCTCTGCTACAATGTCACCAAACCAGCAAGATTGAATTCGACCTCCGGGTCTGTTAAAAAAATAAATGTTTAGCAAATAGGTTTAACTTCTATACATTTAACGTTTCATCAATTTTATTACTTTACACCTTTCGTGAGCTTCCAAGACGACAATATTATTTATCCCTCGCTGCGACAGTCTAGCAGCAGCGGAGATTCCTGCCATTCCAGCGCCGATGATAACAACACGAGGCGCCGAAAAGCATTTGTCAGGGTCACAAGGATGGATTGCGCATATACCACGATCGTCTATTACCGGACCGCAATCGGTTAGTGTGGTAACATCTTCTGACTTCCTACAATATTAGTATTATCTAAAATAAGCTATCTCTAATAAACTTTCAAATAATATCGTGACATTTAACTTTAAACAATATACAAACCTTGACAAAATTTAAAAATATAATTAATAGAATCAGGCGTTACTTTGCGGAAATCCATTATATAAAAGCTTTTAGAAAAATTTTCTCGTGTAGAGGCGAAACACGTGTCGTATTATCGTCAGTGGTGTGTCTTGCCTAGTGTAGTGGTGTTGGGAGTAGCGGTGCTGGGATTAGTGGTGACGGGGATAGTGCACGCAATTGAGGGAGGGCGGGAGGTGTTCTTTATACTAGGTAAGACACATCATTTTATTTTATAACGCGGATATTTGCGAAGTAAATTTTTCTAAAAGCTTTTATATAATGGATTTCCGCAATTCAATTCGACTGCATGTTTTTTGTATGTAGGTAACTCGATATCTTCGCCAATCGTGGATCGACTTTATTGAGATCTTTGTTCATTTAACTGCTGATATCATTTGAATTTGAAGAAAAAAATTCAGTCTAAGTGTGGAAAAAAGTGTTCAATGTTTTTAATAAATGACTTTCGTTTGTAAACTACTTGTTATTTAAGAGGTTGTGCCCACTCGATGAAGGTAAATAATTAAACTCAAGTAAGTAAAATTAATACTAAAAAAAGGAAATAAATTTCTACATAATTCAATAACTTTTAAATGTATCGAAGAATTAAAACGCCGACTTTAGAGGTGAAAGCTCAGAGATACAGAGGTACAGAGGTTTTTACCTTTTTTTTAATAACATATTTATCAACATTTATCAAGTTATTTTAACTTATACTACACAGATGTCTAGTCTAGTGATGGCACAAATTATAGATTTATTCCCTGCCGCTTCCTAAATACTACCCCATTAAAATTTATAATAGGTAGGTATTGATATAAAGTACGTCTACTCTACTTTTGTGCAATTGTCACCGCAAGTCGCTATAACAACTGACTAAAGCCGAAAAATCCATCCAATTTTGTTGAACGTAAATTTCACATACTGGTAATAGGGAGCAACGAGAATGTGAGACTTTTCAGATAACAAGACATTCCATCTTAGTCTGTTACGTTGTGGTGCTGGGCCTAAAATTAATATTCCCCACGACTCAACTATTTGATTCTGGTTTTTGTTCTATTATTTAATTACCATTAGCCTATGAGAAGTAGTTAAGTCGTAATCAAATTGTGCTATATTATTTTATTAAATCGTTACTAATTTTACCAACGGCTTAAAGAAGTAAGTCTTGAAGCTGGATATAGACATCCCCCATAGATTACACTATAGGTTAGATCTTGTGCTATTGATTAATTATAACTGAGCTTTAAGATATTGAGCTATTTGTTGTAGTGAAGGTAATTATTTTACAAACGATTTAAAGTATCGATGTCTTAGTTATACCATGGATCAGAAGCAACTTTACTGAATCGATATCAGACAATAGATAATTTTAATATTTTAAAACAAACCATCGCCCATATCCGTACGTTTGCCGCCATAATCTCAACGATGTAATGCGTAATTTGTAACTGAAATTAAACATTTAAAATTTTCAGTTTATATAGACTATTACACTATATATAAAATTTTACTAAACATTATATTCCTAAAATTCTTAAAACAGTCTGCTACTGTCAACGTCAGATCCTGTTTTTGTATTGATTTTATTACGTTCAGAATTAGCATTTAGAAATAATATGCCTTGTAGAACCTTTTTTATGCCTCAGTACCTAACGTATCATTTATTAACAATTTTTTTAATATTATCGCAAATAAATGCAATAAAAATATTTATATTACAATTTCTGATTTATTTTTGAGTTCCTAACTAAAATATTCTATATTTTTTACTATTTGTTACATTAGATAAATTTATTCCAATTCACAAGCACTGGGTTGAAATGCAAGCTGGACTAAAATACGTGAAAATAGGACATATACATTCTCCTTTTCTGCCTTAGAGTCAGGATTTTTATTCCTGAAACGTCTATGAATCTCTACGCTGCCATTGCATTTTTTCATTGTATCAAATACTTATTAGTTTTTGAATGTTAACTCTTTGTTTTAACGCACACTTTTACTATTTTGTCGTTATACACTACCATTTCCAATAGCATATTTTATATCGTAATATTATTGTACTTCCTTTTTTTCTTTTACTTCATCAGACCACTGCAGGATATAGGCATTTCCTGGTGTGATGAGGATTTGTATTAATCGTCACGCTTGCAAGCGAATAAACGGTCGCAATCTTATGCAATACTATGGCGTGATCTCGGAGCAGGAAGAATTTAAAATTATTTAATTTCATACAAATGTGAATTTTAACGACTTGACAATAAACTCGGTTTTCGGATCACAAATACCTTTCAAAAGGTCCTAAAATTATCTTAGTTGCAATAGAAATAAAACTTTTATGATGCGAATTAAGTTTAAAAATGCAAAGCAACAAAAAATGCCCACTCCGCGACCGTGCTATAGGTAGTCCGCCACTGGTTTAGGTATTTCATGTAAGTGACGGAGTAAAAACATTCATTACCCCATATCGTCCCGTGGAAGTCATAAGAGGCGACAGAGGGTAAAAAACCAAGAGACATGCAGCAGCGTCTTCCTAATAAGAAATCTATACCTTTAATAAAATTGAATTGTCTGTTTGTAATGTCAAAATAACAGCTCTTTACTTATGCATATGAAAGTATGTACGGTACTTATAACAAAAAAGCAATTTTTAAAATTTTTATCTGTCTGGCTGTTTGTTCGGCTATACTGATTTGGAAGTGACTTTCACTGGCAGAAAGCTGATTTTATAAGGAGGAACTTAGGCTACTTTTATTTTAGAAAAATAATTAAAATAGAACACAAAAAATTAAAACCCATCAAATTCAATCGTAATAAATACCGCGCGGGCGAAGGCGCGAGGAACAGCTAGTAAATAATAAATTTATTTATACCCGCCAGCCAGGTGAGTACTATGGCAAATTATCCCCTTTATGAAATAATATATATATATATATATATGGACTTTAATAGGTTATAAAAAACTAAATGCATACTTACTTATTGATAGTTAAAAGGTTATTGTAAGGAATTTTATAAATAAAACCACAAAAGTGTAACCATATATACAGTCTTTATTCTGACGTGATAACATACCGTGAAACCTGGCAACTTTGCCATTTTTGGAAGGGCATAAAAGTTTAACACCAATTTTACAACAAAAAATGTACTGTGAAACTGGACGTCAATGTTAAATGTGACATTATATTCTTCATAGATTTGGTATTTATTAATGATTTAAACAAATACCAACATTAAATAGACAAAACACTCAAAAATATAAAATGGCAAAGTCAACCTCACTTTGTGGCAACTTTGCCATAAGGGTTTATAATGAAAATAATAGGATTTGACTTCAAGGTTGAAGGTAAGTTTACCTCATAATATAATACACAACACCCAGAGTGAATTGCTTCTTTGATTGTATTGCAAATAGAAAAGTTTACGCTTGTGGCAAAGTTGTCCTCCCATTTTTCAATTTTTCATACAAACTTTAAAATATGTGTAGGGTTGTCAAAATCCTTGATTACATACTTAACTTAATATTTTTATTTATCAAACATAAATACTCTCGTCTAAAATTAAAAATGGAATTGGTGCAGTAATAAGCAAAAATCAATTATAGTATAGAATAAAAAAAGCTTGTTACAATCATTTTTAACAAGTTTTTTTGTAATAATATATTGTTTTCCCACAACTAAGTTGAGATTATGAAAAATACTGAGTAGTAATAATATTATTAATGCCCGACAATGCAGTAAAAATAATACAGATTTCTCTATTCTTCTCCTTCACTTTTAATAAAGATGAATTGATTGACGACTCATTTGGTAAATTCGGTCTAATAGGCTCCTACGGTGAAACATCAATACAAACATACATACAAACGGCGAATGTCAAGAGCAGAACACTTTATTTAAATATTTGTAATCGGTTAAAATAGAGGTTGAAAGTGACAACCCTTGGTACAACAAAACATGGCAAAGTAACCGTCACATCATGGCATCACTAGTATAGTAACTTTGCCAAGTTAGTTTTATAGGTAAATATTAAAACCAACATGTTAAAAACAATATATTAAATTTGATAATCATTAATATTACGTTACTGCAAAGATATAGATTAAGTATTTCAAACAAAAAATAACTAAAATTCTGGAGCACTGAACAAAGAAGTTATTTCGCACAATTCCGCGTTTAAATAAAATGCCAACATTAACTCTCATGTTGCCATATCGAAAGCAATGCTGTCAATTAGTTATTGTATTTTCATCCAAAACATGGCTTATCTCGAAAAATGTTACGTTTTCCGTGTTAAGCGTAATTTTGTACCAGTACACTTCTGATGGGAAAGTTAACATTCATTGGTAAAGTTGCCAGACCTCACTGTAGTTCAAAACAATAATTTAAAATAATATTAACTAGGTAATTTATAAATCGAAGCATTCCGTCCAGAAGTGATCAAGTGCGTGGTAGAAATGTCGACTCACTCCCGCTAACGAATGGTTCTCGTCAGTGTAACTCTAGAACAATAAATGGAACAGTAAAAAAAATCTATTTTGTGACATATTTGTTACTATTCTCAAGAGCAAGTGTCTAAACATTCAATAATATTAATAGGGATTTTTAGGGTCTTAAAATTGATATTAGATCTCTTCTTGGAGAGCAAGCCATTTTATAGATAATAATGCATAATTTTATTCTTCCAATCAATTTCTGAATGTAATGACTGTAATGATGATGATGATGAATAAATTTCTACTATAGCATCAAGAAAAGTACGATCGAAAGTTAACATGAGACACAGAACAAAATAAATATTGAACCCAGTTCTAACGGACTACGTTCTATCGGAACTCTTAGATCATGCTGCTTGTGTATTGTGAAATTTAAGACTTTAGAATATTTAGGTTTTAGGTTTAATTTATGCTTCTTTTATTGGAAATCAATTAAGTATTAATTTTAAGTGCTGATTTACCACGTGCTCAGCGGTGAAGTAAAACATCGTAAGGATAATTGCATATCTGAGAAATAAGAAAAAAAATATTTCGAAGACATGAACCACGCCAACACGCATTGGGGCAGTGCAGTGCGGCGGACATTTCCTTGTACAAAAACCCTCTCTAAAATGAGAGAGGTCTGTGCCCAGCAGTGAGACGTATAAAGACTGTAACTATTGGTTAAATTTACGTTTAATTCAAATATAGTTGCGAGCTTATCGCTATAATTTTTTTGATAAGTTAAATAAATAAACTCTCACTACTCCATGGGTTGACTGATAGGCATTAAGTCCGCCCTTTGTATCCTTTTTTTTTCTAAAGGGACGCAACAAACATTTTAAAATAAAAAAATAATGAACTATTCTTTATATTTCATCTCAGTCCCTAAAAGGCCACTGACCTTAGTGTACACATAAGCAAGCTACTTATATACTCGTATACTCGTACTCTAAGCCACTGCCGGACATGACTTTAAACTATTGTAGATTTAAAAATGTTAAAAATTTATTAGTTAAAATGCGCATAAAATTGAAATAAGTTTTATTTTATTTTTATCTTTGTGTGTGAATGAAGCATTTCTACTCTGTCAAGGATGACAACGACCTGCCTCTTCATTTTTAATCGAGAATAGTTGTAGGCAATAATGGACTATATAAAGACATTCACATACCATCAGTGTGCTAGATATTCACCCTTACTTCTCCATTAAATAAGATGATGGGTAAACAAAGTTGAATCTCACCAGTTGTTCGAAGGCAATGTCAGCGTGCTGCAGTTGTTTGGCCAGCTGCATGCTATGTTGGTAGTGCACATTATCATCGCCGCTGCCGTGAACGAGAAGGTAGCGCCTGCCGCGAAGTTGCTGCGCCGCGACTAGCAGATCCGACTGCTTGTAGCCGAGGGGATTCGCTTGAGGCGTGTCCATGTATCGTTCAGTGTATATGGAATCTGCAATAATTGAAAACAAAAGAGTTTGTGATTTGTGCACAAAAGCAGATAATACTTAATAGTGCAATTTAATAAAGGTTAAATATGAAAATATACCGCGTCGTTTATAGTTAAAAGATTTACAGAATAAATAAGATTAGCCAAGTGATTAAAGTACCTATATCGCGACAGATCCTAGGTTGAAATCCTAGTCGACATATATACAAAAACAAACAAAACTGGTTTTTGAATCTGGTTATATGTATTTCATGTTAAATTAAAAATAAAAGAAATTAGTCTTTCAAACGTTTTTAGTTTATTTAGATTATTTAACAACTAGCTGTTCGACGCAACTTCGCCCGCGTAATTTATTACGAATGGATTTCATGGGTTTTAATTTATTGCGCGAAACCCTAATTATTTTTCTAAAATAAAAGTAGCCTAAGTTACTTCTTATAACATCAGCTATCTGCCATTGAAAGTCCGTTCAAAATCGGTTTAGCCGTTTCGGAGATTAGCTGGAACAAACAGACTACAGACACAAAGACAGACAGAAAGACAGACAGACAAACATTTAAAAATAGTGTTTTTGTTATAAGTACCGTATATACTTTCATATGAATTTAGTAAAAAGCATTTACTTCGATATTACAAACAGACACTTCAATTTTATTTATTTGTATAGATATAGATAACCTAAACACAGGACCGATCGAATACCAATGTTTTATTAGATTGTTATTTGCTTAAAATAGTTACAGAGAAATTTATTACATCCATCCATCACCATTATAATTTATAACCTATGAAATTCCATTGTCTCCCCGATCCCATAGAGTGGATTTATCCATAGTAGCCACGCTTGGAAGGATGGTTGGCAACCGCAGTTTCTTATAATTTTAAGCTGTTATATGGAAGATGCTGCTGCGCAGCTACCATGCTGTTTCTAAATGTTTTCTTTCTCTCTAATTGTATAAAATAACTAGCTGACCCGACAAACGTTGTTTTGCCATATACATTATTTCTAGGAAATATTTTTTAGTTTTTAAAAATCGCGATTAAAAAACAGGGGTTGATCGTAGAAGGGTGAAGTTAAGAAGAAAATTTGAAGTTTTATGTATTTTCCAATGCTAAATCATAATGAATTTTTTTTATAGGAGAGGGGGCAAACGAGCATGCGGCTCACCTGATGGTAAGTGACTACCGCCGCCCATGAGCAACTGCAACACCAGGGGGGTCCCTAAGTCGTATCAGTCCGGAAAAATCGCTGGTGGTAATCGATTCCACAAGGAAGTTGTGCGAGGGAGAAAACTTCTTCTGAATCGCACAGTGATGGACCGCCAATCATCCAGATGATATGGATGGTATCGCGAGTTTTGTCGCAATGTGCGATGGCAAACGAGCATGCGGCTCACCTGATGGTAAGTGAGTACCGCCGCCCATGAACAACTGCAACACCAGGGGAAACGCAGATGCGTTGCCGGCCTTTTAAAAAGGAGTAGGCTCTTTTCTTGAAGGTCCCTAAGTCGTATCAGTCCGGAAAAATCGCTGGTGGTAATCGATTCCTCAAGGAAGTTTTGCGAGGGAGAAAACTTCTTCTGAATCGCACAGTGGTGGACCGCCACTCATCCAGATGATATGGATGGTATCGCGAGTTTTGTCGCGATGTGCGATGGCAAACGAGCATGCAGCTCACCTGATGGTAAGTGACTACCGCCGCCCATGAACAACTGCAACACCAGGGGAATCGCAGATGCGTTGCCGGCCTTTTAAAAAGGAGTAGGCTCTTTTCTTGAAGGTCCCTAAGTCGTATCAGTCCGGAAAAATCGCTGGTGGTAATCGATTCCATTGTGCGAGGGAGAAAACTTCTTCTGAATCGCACAGTGGTGGACCGCCACTCATCCAGATGATATGGATGGTATCGCGATGTGTGATGGTGAAATTGAGCGCCTGGAATTAGTCCGAACAATTCCTCAGAGCACTCCCCGTGGTAGATGCGATAAAATACGCAAAGAGATGCAACATCTCCTCCTCCTTTTCCAAGTGACCACAAAACTGCACGTCACTGGATTCATGGTTGCGTTGAAGACATAGAAGACGCTAGCAAATTACACCACTCTAATACTGAATGCATTACGAAGGACGGAGACTATAACATATTACAGAACCGCTTGGTTCCAATGCGGTATATAATTTTGTTATAAACAAACAAAGCAGAACGGCCACATGATCTACTACGAGTTCTTTATAATTCTTTTATTTTTATACTTAAAATCGTTATGTTGTCCACAGCTCTAAGTTAAATATTTGACAACATAATATCACTAACGTAAAACGCTTTTGTACTAAGCGAAGTCTAGACTAGGTATGTGTTTCTGAACCTTATAGTTTTGTGCATGAAAACAAAAACGAGCAAATAGTCCCGCTATTTGTTAGTACTTCTTTGTTTAAAGACCATTGCAGCCAACTTTAAAAAAGGAAACCACAGATGCAGCCACAATTCCCAAGAACTAAAACTAGCCTATAATTATACTGAGACTTTTCCTTGAAAACTAAAAGAATAATCAGAAAAATCGAATCTAACTTCCGACGTACATGTACGTTAAAAATAAATAAACAAAGAAGAAGACATGAAACTGTATAATATCTTTGCATAATGCTTGTACACAAGAGAATTGAGGCTTTATGCTACCTTAAGGTTTGAGTTTCTTTTTTTAAGCTTATTTTTTTGTAAGGTTAACAGTTAATTTATGTGTTTCAATGTTTTTTTTTTTATGAAAGGGGGCAAACGAGCATGCAGCTCACCTGACGGTAAGTGACTACCGCCGCCCATGAACAACAATAACAGGGGAATCGCAGATGCGTTACCGGCCTTTTGAAAAGGAGCAGGCTCTTTTCTTGAAGGTCCCTAAGTCGTATCGGTCCGGAAAAATCGCTGGTGGTAATCGATTCGACAGTGGTGGACCGCCAATCATCCAGATGATATGGATGGTATCGCGAGTTTTGTCGCGATGTGCGATGGTGAAATTGAGCGGCTGGAATTAGTCCGAACAATTCCTCAGAGCACTCCACGTGGTAGATGCGATAAAATACGCAAAGAGATGCAATATCTCTACGCAGTGCCAGTGAGTCAAGCCGATCGAAAAGAACTCGGTCGTCGACGATTCGTACCGCTCTGCGCTGGATGCGGTCAAGTGGAAGGCGCTGGCACTGGGGAGCCCCTGCCCAGAGATGGGAACAGTATTCCATGTGAGGACGAACCTGCGCCTTGTAAAGTTGCAAGCGGTTTGCCTGCATGAAATACTGTCCCGCTCTGCTGAGCACGCTAAGCTTTTTAGAGGCCGATTTGGCCTTCTCTTCCAAGTGACCACGAAACTGCACGTCACTCGATATGTCCACACCGAGAATACCGACACTGACTGAAGCAACAAGGGGAGTGTCTTAAAACTGAGGAGATACGACAAAGGGGTTCTTTTTAGCGGTAAACGCGCAAACTTGTGTCTTCTGTGGTTAAACTGGACTAGATTTAGTCACCCCCAGTCTGACTTTGTTCAACAAAGTCGACTTCAGACACAATGTAAATTAAAAGTGATTTTGTGAATATTGATAAACGACAATTAGTTATTATGTTACTCAGGTATTTTGCGCATTTGGTATATACTCTGGAAAATTATATTCCAAGATGAAATAAATACCTGTTGTTTAGATTTTTTGTAAATTACTGTTGCCTATCTTGATGTCACTGAGACTGCATTTCTGATACACATAGGTAATTTTGTATACCGTTATGTGACACAAGCTGAATACTAATAAGTAGCCTCCAGATTTAAATAACACTTGCAACTAGGTATTACCTACCTGTATTTATATAAATGTATAATAACTTCAAATATTATATGTCGAGAACAGATTTTATATATATATATATATATATATATATATATATATATATATATATATATATATATATATGTATGTGTGTGTGTGTGTGTGTGTGTGTGTGTGTGTGTTTCTATGGACCATAGCATGCAATTAACTTCAGGTAGGCTGTATGCTCGCTTGTCACCCTCACTTAAAAATAAAAACACAATTATTTTTTCAATAACTGTTAGTATAAATGATCAATCACATATTCTATCACTTACATTAAATATCATGAGTAATGCCCACTCAACAACAAATTTTAAGCGATATTTAACAAAATATTTGGGAGCGAGGAGACGACGCGAAGTCTAGCCAAGTTGCCAAAGACACGGTTCTTGCCAATTTACTGTCTTCCAAAATTCTATTTACACTACAAGAATGTCATTTAAAGTAAACACGCTGGAAACATAAATTATGTTGCACTTGCGAACATGATGTGCAATAGCGTGAACACAATCGAAATATGATTTCAAAAGAATACAAATAACAATGAGTAATACTTTGCTTATTGTATTATGTATAATTTTTGTCTTTTAATTCTTCTCATTAGCCTGTAAAAGTTCACTGCTGTATATTGACCTCACTCGTTGTAATAATTTTCTCCAGATCAAATTTCGGTCACGGCGGCCAGTGTCATCGGAGACTAGACTAGCGCAGACATAAGTGCACTCTCTATTCCTTCACTCTCATAGTCCGATGGGACGGCAATTTGACACGACCCGAGAGAGATCAGATGCTGTATCAACGGCTTTACGTGCTTTCCAAGAAACGAGGGTGGAACACTGTCCATTTCCTTATTCTGCGCTGCAGAGAATTTATTGAAGGAAAACTTCTTTCGGAATGACTTCCCGCCAAAAATTATTTTAATCAATATACTAGATTTTATGTTTTATAATACAACATTCGAAATTCAAACATTCATGAACGGCCAGGAGCGCAGAACTAAAACTTTCAGTGTGGCTTATGCATGCGTTTTAGGATGTTTAACGTCCATTCAAATTCAGTTCAATACATATTTATAGAGTAAATAACAAATAATTAAATAATGAGGAAATTATTTCAGCACTTCTAACATACAACATTTTTAATTTGGGTATGAATTCACATTTTGTGAATCAATACCTATATTAAAAATTATTTATAAAAATTATATTATACTTCTACTACAATAATTTAAATAAATGAAAGCTTAAAAATAATTTAAATAAATAAACTGCTTTTTTGGCCTAAATGTATTTTATAATTCTTGTACGTATGACTGTTGCAATACTCGTAGGTATATTTCAGTCCGTGAATACTTAGTATAACAGCATGTACTCCGCAGAGGCTGGATCCCTAGTCCGATGTAATGATTAAGCAATAAAAATGAGAGGTAGGCTCAGATGCAGTGTTTGTTAATAAACTCTGAAACAACCATCACATAAACCTTACCCTCTCAGTAGAGCAGTAAATCAGCCGCGCTGCCCGTGTGTGTTAGCTTCACATTATATTCTTGAAATAATTTATTTGTTAGAGGTTTCCATGCGATATTTACTTTTACCTTGTACACTTGGTAAATAGGCACTTCGAATTGCAATTTACAATTTCAGTGGTGTTGCAGGAGGCTGGGGTTGCTCGTGTTCTATAAAATTATATGCGAACGCTAAGCCCCTAAACTACTACAGTTGCCAACCTGGAATTGTGACCAACGCTGTGGTCAATATTAATATGGAAGCTTTAATTTATATAAGAAATATGTAGTAGATCTTTCTTACTCCACATCTCACTCTCATTGATCAATAAAACCCCTGCCTAGTGGCTAGTGTTTACCTTACCTACCTATATATAAGAGGCATATTTACAAAACTAATATCCATGTAAATAACAATTCATGCAGACTTATTCGCTAACTTTGTTGCCATCAAAATGATAGTCACTTCAGAGTACAGAAGCCGTAAGATATCATGGTAATACATGAATTGGCTGAAAATGTGAAATTCTTTATGTTAAACATTTATTTAAAAAAACCGGCCAAGTGCGAGTCGGACTCGCGCACCGAGGGTTGCGAACAAATCCGTAGGTATATGAGTTTAAAATTATTAAAAATATTTTTATTATATGATGTAACTAAAAATTTATGCTTTTCGCAATTTTTCCTTTATCTGTGCTATAATACCTTGCTTCGTACCAAATTTTAAGATTCTGAGTTCACGGGAAGTACCCTGTAGGTTTTGATTTCCTTGCGAATGTCGAAAATTTGCGGCATAAACGGCTGTATCTTTTGATTGCGTTGGCTTAGAAGTTTGATTTTTTCACAGCTCCAAGGGACAGTAAGCTTGAGTATTTGATATAAATTCATCTTGATACCTTCACGCGTTCCTGAGAAAAAAGGTCTTGACAGACAGACAGACGGACAACAAAGTGATCCTGGGCCATTCTCATTTTTGCAAAATGTTTTTGTGCAAATGTATTAAAAATGAAATGTATTATTTCTAGAATATTATCTACAAATAATTGAAGTAGGTTATATTAACAGGATTTTTTATTAAAACTAAAATAACATAAATATTTTTTTAATCATCATTAAGAAAGTGACCAAAATATCACCTCCATGTCGTGTACAAAATCAGTTTATGATACTATAGGCTAACATAATATATATATATATATATATATATATATCAATAATAAATTAATAATTTCATATTTTTTTTACAATAAAACATGGAAAAATCTTTCTAAAAATCACAAAATAATTAAAACTAAAATGAAATAAATAATTCCAAATATTTCATAACTTTTGTGCATGGAAAAATTATCACCTCCATGGATAAACTTACTGAACGCAGCGACAATTCAATAAATCGGTAAATACAGTTCCTGAACGAATACAGACAACAAATACAACGTCATCTTGAAAATTTTTGACAGTTTGTCTGGGCTGGGATAATAATTTTTGAGGAAAGATTTTTTTTAAATTAGCATGCTATTTCAGTCACTTTTGTGGATTACTTATCACAAAGTATTAATTTAATTAAGGTCTATTGAATATCGTAAAAAGATGGGCCACTATTTCCGTTATCTTGGTATTTCGTCATTTTTAGTAATCAACATTTGTGATTACGAAAAAACGGTATCTAAATTTAAAATCTCACTTCCATGAATGTCACCTACGTGATTTACGGTTATCCATGGAGGTGATTTAAAGTCCATGGATGTGACAGTACTGTGATCACTCTTTGGTAATTTAAAAATTATCAATGTGATTAATTGTAATATGTAAATATTTCTTGATCCAGGGTAATTATAGTACAAAAAATTAGGAACAGATCAATCACAAGACAAAAGAATGCGAATGAAGAGGCGACGTCGGAAAAAACAAAGTCCAATCCACAGTTGTACGAACAGACTAAAGCTACAGAAAGAGAACATTATAGAAATCTAAAATAAAATTATATCTTTTGATCAAATGTCAGAAAGAAAACAAAAAAGAATGGCGTAAGAGGCAAAAAAATTGTAGAATAAATGGAAAATGCAGGGAAAGATTTTTATCGAGTTTTCGTGATGATCGCCTTAAAGTGACATTGAAAATTATCCAGTTTCAGTTAGACATTTAAACATTAGGCATTCTCCTAATGTTTCAAGCATACATTCTCTTCCGGTCTTAAGTAGATGATCTGGTTCTGTCTGAAGCCGTATTTCGTCATCTTACAGAGACCTATCTCCATCAGTGTTAGAAAATTACTCGCCTAGAATACTTGATTCATCAAGTAGTTGTAGTAAGTACTACATCATACCAAAACAAAACTAGACTTAATACTTTTATGACAACTTAGCTGTGCAAAATGTGATAGAAATTGATCTCATAATGGAATAGGAAATTCATATACACGAAGTGCCATCGTTGAAGAATCTTTTCCTGGCTCAAGTCATGACATTCCACATAGAGTGCCAGAAAATACTGTGATAATAACTGAAGAATCTATTCCTAGCCCCAGTCATGACATCCCACACATGAACTGCAATAAAATACTATGATAGTAACTGAAGAACCAATCACATTTGACAGAACTCAAATAACACCTGTAACTTCTTTTCGGGAATTGATCAAAGGCAACTGATTAAGTTGGTCTGCAAAAACACAAACATTGTCACTGTACTGAATTATAATTCTCTAATCTTTTACGTGGTAGAGCCACGCTGCAGCTATGTTTTGGTTGTAGCATGAATGGGTCAGCTCGACTGGGGCGTACTGGGACAGACAACGTAAAATAGCAGCTTAACGCTGATGTATTTCGTATGTTGAGTGTATAAAACCGGAGACCCTTTTTACTGGAAAAGAGGCATTCCATGTTAGCCTTCAGGGGTGACGACGCATCTCTATTTTAATTCGTAATCGAGGATAGATGTAGATGTCTATGGGCCAAAACAACCACTTACCATCAGATGAATTGGGTGCTCTTTTGTCACCCTACTTCTATAAATAAAAATTTTAGTATTTCATCAAGTTTGGTTCCAGTTGACAAGTGTGATGAAGAATACACGAAGTTCGTTTGGCCACAGTGTAAATGATATTTCGGATTGTAGTTATTACTGTTACTTTATCACATTGCGGTCGAAGAAATGTTAAAAAAATATTATTACGTTCATTCCCTCATCTTCGCCAAAATTATTTTAGTTAATAAGATTCATTGCTTGGTTTTATTTTTTTCTAAAAATGTTTAAGTTGTTACTATTTTTTATTATTTATTATGGTTTCTCATTTATAATAATTTAAATTGTCTTAGTTACTTTATTTCGTAAGTTTTGCAAGTTATATGCTCACTAAATAATGTTGATTAATAATAATTTAATTACTATTAAAAGGTTGCTTATGTGACTACATAGAACCGAATAAAAGTTTTGTTAATCAACATGTGTTCCTATAAAATTTATTAGTAATAGATATAATTAACATAATATTAATTAAGCGTAAATACGTACTTAATTAATACTTAAAATTTATAAATACTAAACTGATTAGTTATATACAGATAATAATCAAAAAATATCGTTTTTTTCGTCCATAAATCATTAATAATTTATTAAAATTATACAAATATGTCACTACCGTAGAGTTGTGTCACTTCCGTGGAAAGGTGTTTTCATTTTTCATTGTTTTTGTGAAAAATACAGTGAAAATAGCTAGGCTTTTATGTGCTCCATTTAGCAAAATAAGATACCTTTCATTTGAGACTACTTTGAATCATATCAAAATTAAAAAAAAAAATATTTTAGAATTTTAAGACCGTTTTTGAGAATGGCCCTCCTATAAATGTTCCGTTTTTTCCTTTTGAGGTACGGAACCCTAAAAAGTATGAACGAATCCTAAACTATATAATCTGATTAAAATTTCATCATCATCAATACCGTATATACAATACAAAGTCCACTGCTAAACATAGGCAGGCTAAACAGACTATAGGCTAAACATAGTTAATTAGGAAATTAAAAGAGCTAAAAATATTTAAGTGTCGGTTTGATATCAATTTATTTACCGTAATATAACCAAGATGTAACAGGTGCCACGGCAGCGCCACATGCAAGTAACTTGATGTCGTCCTTTATCAGCATCATGGTTGTGGCGTAACCGCCGTAACTCCAGCCCCATACACCGATGCGTTCCGGGTCGATGAATGGATATAGAGTAATCAAGCGTCTAGGGGCAAATAACAAAGATTTTTGTATAATATTAAAATTATACACGAGTTAACAGTCTACAACATCTTCATCATCATCATCATCATCATCATTACATCCTTTCCCAAGTCCACCACTAAATATAAACCTCTCCCAAGGAATTGCCAAAGGACCTTAGGCATCGACTTTCTGCATATCTTACAGCCTAACCAGGTCGTCACTCTATTTAGGGGTCGGGGCTCCCTATACTTTGCATACCGGTACGAGGCTGCAACTCGAGAACCTTTTTTCTCATGGGTTTTCGGTTCTTCGAACTATGGCTGCCCTATTGTCACTTCAATGTACTGATCCATTGGGCTATTTCGGTTAGAGCAAAGACACTCCCAACATAACTCTATCACTCGCTAAGCCATTTTGTTCTAATACGGCCAGTCAGTAAAAAACGACGTCCCAGACTCATATATCATTCACTGGTAACAAGCGCTGGTTGTTATTTGTAGTTTCCAAGTTTCGAAGAATATGTGACAATGTTTCCTAATCTCACTACGATGCCGAGCCGAATTGGATCCGTCAATTGACCTCTCGGTCGAGGTTGGACCACAGATTAGATAATAGTTACTACGTAAGTAGGACTTAAGCCGGACAATTTAAAAAGTAGCTACTGCAGTCGATGGACACTTGTAAGGTATAATAACTAAAATTATATGCCTGTCATTGTACTAGCTCTCTTATCTTGCGGTGTATTGAATTTAATTTTACTTTTAGGATACCCACAACACGATATGAAGTAGGGTTATCTGTCACTACAAAGTGAAGTAAATGAACAGTATTTTATTAATTTTATCAGAAAATCTATTATAACATAAGCGAAAGAAATGTAATAAAACCCGAAAAAAATAAGAAGGAAAGAAACATTAATTTGGAGTGATAACAGAATTTTTATACGCAGATAATTATTAAAGTACGAGTACATACTCTAGCGCAGTCAAAGTGTCGGTAACTTCAACTGTGCCTAGTGCGTTGTTGACGGCGTGCATTGCCTCAACTCCCATCACACCAGATCCTCTTACGTCGATTGATGCCACTATATAGCTTCTATTAGTCGATAGGTATGAAGTGTAGTACTCTGTGGAATAAAATATTCGTTAGATTTTCATTTGAAATTATAACGACGAATGTTTAATACGAGAGTGAAAGATTGTGTTATTTTGAATATATATTTAAATAACTGTTACCGTCACAGTATATTAAAGTCCACTGCTGAACATAGACCTCCCCTATAGATTTTCTCATTGTTCTTTTTTTTTGTTCTTTTTTTTTGTTTTTTTTTTTATAAAACGTTACCCCCACACTAGGATTTTCTCCTGTGTCGTGGAGGCAGTTTACAAACATAAATTGCACAAGGACAAACATCCAGACCCGGAACAATTATTTGTAGGCCATACAAATACTTGTTCCGTGCGGGATTCGAACCCGCGGCCCCCAGCGCAACAACTGATTGCTAAGCCACTGCGCCACGGAGCCGTCTCATAAGGGGGATATTTGCAATAGTTGCCATGCTTGGCAAGCACCTTGGCAACAGCAGTTTTATTTTTATTGGGAAGACCTTGCTGCTCATCTTCTGATTTGTTTCCCTCTGTCGCCTCTTAAGTCACCCACGGGATGAGATGGGGTAGTGGATAGTCTTACACCGTCACTACACGGTCAATTTTAACATGCTCATTTAAATAGAATTTTATTATATACGATATTTAAAACTATAATAAAAAAAAAACTAAAACTGGTAACTTAATTATCATATAGTCCTACTCCCCTCGGTATCGTGCCAAGAACACTGGCTGCGTTTCCCCGCTGAATGGCTATACTTAGCCTTTGAGCGAGAAAATAACCAATCCTTTCCTTTTTTTTTCCAGCAGCAACGACCAGTTGCGGATAGATTTTCTTTAGGAACTTCACCGCACGTGGACCCAACGGACCGATAGTCTCTACAGCAAATGGCACAAATATGTAGTCGTCTCTTAGAGACTCATATTTGCGCCACTTACTCAGTTCAGCTGCCTCTGATGCCGCCCCGGCTTTAAGCGAGATACCCCTAAGATAAGAGGCCGCCAAATGTCTACGCAAGTAGCATCCCACACCTCTCTCCCAAGGGACCAATGTCATACCGTCGGATCTCTTGCCATCGTCTCTAAATATTCCACAAGGCTCTTAACCCGAGGGAACATTCATAGAGACAAGAGCAATACGGATGACATCGTTCAAAGAACCGTGCCGTGAAAACCTACCAGCACTTTTCTTAAATGAAAGTCCGTGGAGCCCAAACTCGTCGACGCTGCTACCACAGGGCCACTGATGGGGTTGACAAATCACCTCTCCTAGTCGGATTCCTACAGTGATGCGCAAGTTTTCCCCATCAAGTAATGTACCGAGATTACTCGATGTTAATTCGTGTAACCAGTGGCTAGATTCCTTCGTCGAAACAGTTAGAAGGCGTGCCTGATCTTGGTCACTATGTAAATTATGAAACAAATCTTTCTAGACGCTCTGTACCAACGGCATATTCCACTGTTCTTGTTAGTTAACTTTCAATGGAACATTTTGGCCGGGACAGAGCGTTTTCCATGTCTGCCCTGCCTCCGTAACAAAGCACAGGTACCTACTTTATTTTTTTAAATTATGTTACATACGTCACTGCCACTATGCACGGAAGCAGGAAAAGCAGGCAATACAATGCTAGAAAGATTTCTAACACCAAAATACCAAATTTTATAGGTAAAGTACCTTGAGTCCAGGCTGATGTATTTAAAATTAAATTTAGAATTTTTTTTTAAATCACTTATCAATTCAATAACTAACAAATATAACATGCATAGGTACTTTCGGACAAAAATAAACAGTTTTCGCACACACTACATTTTAATATACAAGGTTCTCTTTTTAGAACACGATTCATTTTATAATTATTTTAACTACATTTTATCATTCGTTATTAAACTTTAGGGCTTATTTCTCTGCCAATCAACACTGAGAAGGAAATTCGGTCGCAGTAAATATTGAATATTAAAAAGCTTATTAAAATATGACAGAAATTCGAAACCGTCCGCTTTTAATTTATAAAGGTATTTTGCATATCATTCGTACACAGTAGCGCTGCGATCAAATTATTATTAGATTCTTTATATATATATATATATATATATATATATATATATATATATATATAATTCACAATTAATGATAAGACAATTTCATGAGGTGATATTACAAAGAAGTCTAAATAGATACCTAGACTGAAGATGTCCTTCACCCTAGTGGAGCCGGGACCTGCGTACACTCTCAACACCATAGGATACTTCCTCCCCTCCTCCATCTCGGGTGGGAGCATTAACTTAATATGAGCCACGACATCTTCACTTAAGGAGATAGAGTTGAAAAGTGACATTGGATGTTTATAATGTCGTAATTTTTCGTTCAATTCATTGTTATACACGATAATTTTAAGGCTATTCGTCTGAAATTAAAAAATTATTTAGGAAAGACATACATTAAGAAATTAAGAGATTAATCTAAAATAGCTTTACCTGACCGTTGTACAAGTATGTAACTGGCGGCACATTACTGGAACTACAAGACATGATACCAAAACTAGCGCCGGGGGAAAACATGGCGTCAACATTATGACATGAGGCATCTCTGCAGGATATGCATCGACTGACTCCTTGTGATGTCGACCACAATTGCCTTTCCCAAGGCCGATCCCAAGGCGATAAAATATAGTACACTGTATCCGTTTCCTCGTTCCATCCGGCAATGGACGTGACCGTGGAATTTCCAGGACTGAGGTCTTCAGTTGTCAATGAGTTCAAATCGAAACGAGCTGCGTGTAAAAACCTTTGATCATTGTAGAACATAGGTTCTATTTCCAGCATCTTCGTACCAGCGTTGTTAAAGAAAGGCTCATGAATATCAACCCAACCGTTTATTTCAGTTTGCTCCTTTACTATACTGCATTTGTCTTTAGCTAGGTCGCAATTGACCAGAATGCTGATGTTTTGTCTTCTGTTCAGCCACAGAACAATTAAATTTTGATCGGTCGCCCAATTCACTCTGCCCAGTATATGATCCAATCCAACAACATCCACTGGAGCGGGTATAACACATGGTTCGCTTGTTAAGTTATTTAAATTGAAAACCCGGAGACCAACAACTGGATTAGTGCGGCCTGCCTGACGACAAATAACATTAATTATATTAATATACTAGCTGTCGAGGCAGACGTTGTTATGCCCTTTCCGACGACCCTTCCTATAAAAAAATCCTTAAATTCGCAATAAAAAATATTGAAGGTCACTTATCGGGATAAAAACTACCCTATCTCTCAAGTTGGACAAAACTGCACACAGTGTGCAAAATTTCATTGAAATCAATTCAATAGTTTAGGAGTTCATCGCGTAAACAATATTCTAGAGTTGTACGTTTGATTTCGATTGACATAATCTTTATAAATAAAAATTACGTGTCACATTGTTTGTCCGCGATGAACTCCTAAACTATTAAACTGATTGCAATGAAAATTTGCACACTGTGTGCAGTTTGGTCCAACTTGAGAGATAAGATAATTTTTATCCCTATAAGTGACCCTCAATATTTTTTATTACGAATTTAATAATTTTTATAGGACACAGGGTCGTCGGAGAGGGCAGAACAACATCTGCCTGGCCAGCTAGTATATTTTAAAATAAACAGTAAATATTTACACAAATAATCGAGGTTGGTATGTATAGATGACACAGACTGGGACTGGGAAACAATGTGCATTTTAATATTGTTCAGGGAAATCTATTACAAAAAATTAGAAGTTTTGAAACATTTTGATTAATTATTTTTTTAATTAAAATTGCTGAGAAAATCACTCAATTATTTTAATAGAATAAGGATAACATAGACATCTACATTTATCCTCGATTAAGAATGAAAATGCAGAAGCCTTGTCACCCGTGAGGACTAAGATGGAATGCCTCGTATCCAATAAAAAGGTTCTCCGGTTCTCTACACTTACCATACGGTCGGGCCGACCCATTCGTACTAGAATCATAATATAGCTGCAGCATAGCCCTACCACGTATAATTTTTTAATTTATTAAGCACACCCATGCACTATATAAGTACAACATTAATCATGTATGGTACATAATTAATCATGTATGGTACTTATAGCGGAATATAGATTAAGAACAAAAAATACAGGGTTATTTTTCAAAGAGTAACCAATTTTAAAGTTCAAATATATAAATAATGATATACCGTTATTGCAGTTTTTGAAAATACGAGTAAATAAGGCTTCTAACTTTTATTTGAAATTATCTCAAATTGAATGTGATTTATGAGCAACACCGTTTTTGCCTACCGATCGATCCTTAGGAATGTCTGCATTTTGAATTTAAGAGATAAAAAGGACAGAATGTTTGAGATATTTTTTAATTAAATTTTCTTCGCCATTTGCCTATATTAGTTATTCTGAACGTTCTCTGTAAATTTGGCCGTTATTGCCGGCAATAACCGTGTATATATCAGTATAAAATAAAACTTAAAAATAAAATGATAATAAAGATCTTAAAAAAGGTTATGTTACCAACCTTTGGATATTTGAATTGAATCAACTGCGGATATTGGTTGTCGAGGTCACTCGCGCTGCCGTAGTAGGGGTATATGGCCGACTCTACGTTTCGGTCGTCGAAGGATGCAACCGCAAGATATGTACCGTTGGGTGAAAACCACAGAGCCTCCGCCGCATTGAAGACCTCCTCTAAAATTATATATTAATTTAATTATAAAGTACAAAGTTATGTTAAAAGAAGTTAAAGAGGTTAAGGAAATAAACACATTCCATAAACATTTTATCGTTAAACGCTTAGTTGAACTTTAAAGGAAGCCAAGCAAAGAAGAGAGCGATTCTTCAAAGAAATTGCAAAAATGTTACTTTTTCAGACCTATTTTTCTTCAACGAACAGCTCGTTTAAAACAACGTCATTTTAAAATAATTTAGAACATTTGCGTTGAAAACAACTTTTAAATCAGAGATTTAATTAATAATTATTTTAAAATGTGTTTTTAGAAAAGAATGAGAAAAAACAAGACGAAAGAGATTGCTATAAAGAATGTTATGCTATTAGTAATATAAGAGAAGTAGATCGCTCACACCACCCGGCTTCACCTGGACAGCATCTATTAATGTGGCGTCATTTACATTTTTTAAATAATCTCCAATCACCATTTATAATTCTTACAATTTTTCAAATAAAGAATACTCTGTAAAATTACTCAAGGTTTTTCGGATGAAACATTAGGCTAGGTTTTGTCCGAAAAACTTTTTTCTTATGGCATTCCTCTCTATCTGTTCTCAGTTTCATCACAATTGGTTCAGTCATTCCTAAGATTAGTCTGGCCCCGACTTTGAACTGTGAAAATGTTATGAATCTATAAATGAGTTATTCAATGATGAAATTGAGATCTTTATACGAGTACATATAAATAATATAGAAGTGTTTGTCTGTAATATTGAAATAATTGTTTTCTGTTAAGCTCAAGATTTTATTTGCATGCCATTAAGACATAAATAACCATTATTGAAATGTCTGTTTGTCTGTCCGTCTATCCGGGCTAATACTCTACAGAATGGCTGAATCGATTGTAATAAAACTTTACGAACAGATAGAAAACAATGCCAGGACTGATCTACGCTATATATTATCCGAAAAGCTTCAAGCCTTTTTCTGCCGACTTCCAAAAAGGAGACTGTACTCAATTCGACTGTGTTTTTATGTGTGTTACTTCATAACTTTTTACTGGGTGAACCGATTTCGATGATTCTTTTTTTATTTGAAAGCTGATAATTTTCGTGTGGTCTCATATGAATTGGACTAAGTTCAGACCAATAGTTATTGAGTTATTCTTAATAATTTATATTGAAGTCGGCTGTACAAAATTTTTAATTTTTAATTATTTTTAATTCAAATTAATAAAAGGTCTTTGATTATCTTAAATCTGAATAACGTTACATTAATAGATCCTATACAGACGAAGCCAGGGCGGGTCGCTAGTTCATAATAATAATATAATAAGCTATATTATAGCTGCAGTACAAATTACTCGGCTAGACTGCGAGTGGACCATAACTAAATGATTATCATCAGGTGGGCTATGTACTTATTTGTTACTCTTACTTTTATTTTTTTTTAAAACTTTCAATTTACAGTGTGAATTGTTGTGGTGTTTAATTTTATTTATCTTTATACATAAAATTTACGTGTCACGTTGTTTGTCCGCGATGAACTCCTAAACTACTAAACTGATTTCAATGAAATGTTTCACAATGTGTGCAGTTTGCTCCAACTTGAGAGATAGGATAATTTTTATCCCGATAAGTGACCCTCAAGATTTTTTATTGTGAATCTAATGATTTTTTTAGGACACATGGTCGCCGTAAAGGACAGAACGACGTCTGCCTGGTCAGCTTGTTTTATTATATAATAATAAAATATTATTATGTGATTAATTAGTTAATTACTATAATCTGGAGCTTTTGCGATGAATGACTGTCTAAACAATGATTTATCATGAAATAGTTAGCCATTTTGTTTCATGAATTTTCGCACCAACTGAAACGAACGAGTAACATCATCATTAAACCCATATTATAGCAACTAAAGCCCTTTAATTGGAAATTGTGCCGATACAATTTTCTTATATTTATTTTATTTCCTTATATAATATATCATTTCGACATTTACCTTCATATATCCAATCCGTAGCGCCATTATACAATTCCCCAGGGATACCGTCGGTTGTTAGTGCAGCAACTACATCAGGTCGGGCAACATTGGGAACATAATACACATTATTGTTTTCAACATAGGCTAGAGCTCCACTAGTCCCCCACACTACCACTTGTGTCGGTCCTTGTCCTATTTTAGAAATGGACCTTAAAACATGGAAATAATGGTTACTTTTGACACTTCATTACCATGCGGTAGCAACTTTATATTTATAAATACATTGTTACAAGAATTATTATTATTAAATCAATACTATACATTACGTTTTTCTTGAAAACTGCTCGATTGTACGACGATAACGATTTTCATATTAAAAATTTCCCCTTCCAATATATTTTCATTTTTATAAATTATTACCTCAGATGTCTAATTTGAAAAGTTTCAAGTACGGCTCTTACAAATGGTACAAGTACTAGAGTCAAACATCGACAAATCGTACAACTGGGACCAGAGTCAAATATTGACAAATTAAAAATAATGTATTCCTTACGGTGATTATTATTATTATTAAAATTTGTATAACTATTTACATTCCTTAAAAGTAAGACACATCTCACTCGCTCATAGAATAGGTAACCCTATAGATAAAAGTAAAGTTACAGCCTATATACGGCCCACTGCTGGGCACAGGCCTCTCATTTCATCTTATTTCTGCGCCTTATAGATGTCGACTGCACAAATGCACATTGATGATGATGATATTTCAATATTGAAAACATCCAATTATAACTGGAAGAAGAAGATGACACCAGTTTGCACGTTTACCGCTAAATACCCCTTTGTCGTATCTCCTCAGTTTCAAGGCACTCCCCTTGCTGCCTCAGCTAACATTGGAATCCTCGGCGTCGACATATCGAATAGTGTGCAGTTTGGTGGTCACTTCTAAGGGAAGGCCAAACTGGTCTCTAAAAAGCTTGGTGTGCTCAGCAGAGCGAGACCGTATTTAATACCGACACATCGCTTGCAACTTTACAAAGCGCAAATCCGGCCTCATATGGAATACTGTTCTCATCTCTGGGCCGGGGCACCCCAGTGCCAGCTCCTTCCACTTGACCGCATCCAGCGCAGAGCGATTCGAATCGTCGACGACCGAGTTGTTTCTGATCGGCTCGATACACTGGCACTGCTTAGAGATGTTGCATCTCTTTGCGTATTTTATCGCATTTACCACGGGTAGTGCTCTGAGGAATTATTATAACTAATTCCAGACGCTCAATTTCACCATCGCACATCGCGATAAAACTTGCGATACCATCCATACCACCTGGATGATTGGTGGTCCACCACTATGCGATTTAGAAGATGTTTTCTTCCTCGCACAACTCCCTTGTGGAATCGATTACCACCAGCGATTTTTCCGGACCAATACGACTTAGGGACCTTCAAGAAAAGAGCCTACTCCTTTTTAAAAGGCCGGCAACGCATCTGCAATTACCATCAGGTGAGCCGCATGCTCGTTTGCCCCCTCTCCTATAAATAAAAAAAGTTAAATATACCCCATGTCGTGTAGTGGCGGTGTAAGAATACTCACTACTCCATATCATCCCATGAGTGTCTTAAGAGACGATAGAGGGAAACAAGTCAGGAGGTGGGCAGCAGCGTCTTTCTGATAACGACTAAAAATAAAAAAACTGCAGTTGCCAACCTGCTTACAGAGCGTGGCAGCTATGGTAAACATCCAAATGAGGAAATCTATGAGGGAGGCCTACACATACCATACGAAACACACATGGTATTATAGGGAAGGACGGTCGAGCCGATACATTCGTGCTACAACTATAATATAGATGCAGCGTGGCTCTACTGGCCATTTTGGCATTCTCCAAATCTCCCTTGTGAAGCAATCTATGGAAGGCCTATGTTCAGCTGTAGACTTTTATAGATTGCAATGGTATAGGAATATTTTTTGCACTTTCACAGCTTTCTCTACAAATGACTACCGCAAATTCATGCAACTGACTGATAAAGGAGAATTCATCCCTCGATGTCCTTCACCTACGAGCTCTAACCGATATAACGATTTACTTACAAGATAAGAGTCTCTGAGTCTCCGAGTCTGAGTTGCAGCGTCTGGGTTCGAATCCCGCACGGAACAAGTATTTGCATGGCCTACAAATAATTGTCCCGGGTCTGGATGTTTGTCCTTGTGAAATTTATTTAAGTAAACTGCACCCACGATACTGGAAAATATCCTAATGTGGAGGTAATGTTTAAAAAAAGAAAAAGGAAGAAAACAATGACAAGATTGAAAATAGGCTAGGTTGCAGCGTCAAAAATACGGGAGGAATTAAAACCAAAAGTAAATAGAATAGCCCTAAATTAGTCTTTACTTCACTTTAATGGATAATAATTAATTAAAAATTCTAAAGACAGTTGCGAAAGTAGCAGATTATTTCCCTCTTTAAGGCCCTAAGAGCGAGTAAAATAACTAAATTATTGGATATTTAAGTGAAAAGTGGTAAAATTAAAAATTTTGCACAACAGACCTCCATATAAATGAAATGAGAACATCTTCAATGTAGTCGAAGTCAATTAAATCCGTATTATTAAAGATAGCTCAAAGACTACTGGTCAGATATTGTTTTCAATTTGAATTGATCAAATTTATATGGTACCACATGAGTAGCACCAGCTTTCAAATAAAAAAGAATCATCAAAATCGGTGCACTTAGAAAAAAGTTTCTGACTTACCTAACACACAAAAAAATACAGTCGAATTGAAATTCTCCTTTTTTTAAAGTCGATTGAAAAAATATCACAATATCTGTTAATTTAATCCGTGAAGAAAAAATTAAAATTTACAGTTAAAAATTTGATAAAAGTTTATAATTGAATAAAATTGTATTTTTGTCACCCGCTTTTTAGAAAAAAAAATCCAAAGATACGCAGGTATCAATTTTAGTCATAATTTGCAAAATTTCTCCAAAACGGCACAAGGACTTTCATTAGTTTTGACACAAAAGGTAAAGAATATTCTAAATTGAGTTTTTAAACCATGAATTAAAATATATTTTTATTATAAATGTCATTCAAAATGGCCATAAACTAATGCATAATTTCAAACCGTAACTGTTACTAAAGTATGTTGAAATGTTTAAATATATTAAAAACATAACATGAATGATAACGATATTTATCTAAAATATAGTAATTGCGATATAAAAAAACTAAGAGGTTCAGGTAATAAGATATTAAGTACTGTCTAGAGTATTAAATTTGACTCTTTCAAAATTTATTTAAAAAAAATTTGCTTTGTTTAGTTTAGGAAATCGAAAACAAAATAAACAAGAAATAAATAATGGGCAGCCTTCCTGAAGCGGCAAGAGCTCTGAAACTTTTTTAAACGTTAAGTAAGTTAACATCTAATTAATCTTGTGTTGTGAATATATTTTACGTGCATAAATTGCAGATAGGCAAATATCCGTGCCCAAATCAATTTTTAGTGAACGGCATAGTCGGGAAGGGTCGCCCTAGGCGAAAGTTTATCGACCAAATTGGCGATATATTAAAAATGGGCCAAATCAAGAGTACCTTTAACCGACGAGCGTGTATGCGTAGGTATATGGATGTGGAGGAAGCGAGACAGGTGTGTCAGGATCGTGCCAAATGGAAGTCCATAATCTCTGCCTACCCCTCTGGGTGACAGGCGTGAGTGTTTATGTATTATGTATCAATTTTTAGGCCATACAAATAGTATTCCATGTGTTATTCGAACTCGCAACTTAAATCACATATCGAACGTTAACGTTACTCAGCCACTGCGCTATCGAGACGTCAATCACTTAGCAGAGTACAAGTTAAAAATCGAAGTTATTTATCTATTTATTTCATGGTATGCACACACCATAGATATAGTACTAGATTGGCGATGGAGTGATTAGGACGAGATCAAAACCAATGTAATGTACATGTTTGGGAGACAAATAATGCTGCACCATGCATTCCCTACGTCTACTTAGAAACATAGTGCCCTTTCAAGCGTTTTAGGCTGCATGAAGTCACATAAAAACTAACATGGCAGCTTATTGACGACATACAAGTACTCACAAAAATGAAATAAATATTAAAATATCGTGTCTGGCTATCCAATAAAAGGTGTTAATCAGGATGTTCTCGACATTCAGAAAATGCATGTTATAATTTTTTTTAAATGTTGTATAAAATATAATGTTAAATTATTTTTTTTAACTGTATTAATATTTATTAACGTTTTATTATAAAACTGAAGTAAGCAACGAACTTACAGTTCAACTGATCATGGTAAGTGGCAACTGCAGCCCTGCAGCTGGACACTTGCAGCTAACTTCAAACAAAGAAGGCTACGTCATTGTCACCTGTACGGACTGAAATGGAATCTGGTTTCTGACGATGTTAGTGCTGTTAGTCTTTTGGCACTTACAGCTTCATAGGTCTCGGGGCTGCAAGGCCTTGTGTCTTAGGGGCAGTTTGCTCTTGCTGTTAACTAGCGAGTGGAGGCGACTAGTGATGAATTTGTCACGGTTGCGGACAATGCGAATGTGTTTCGCGAAGGTCATAGTGTGGTCAAATGTGACCCCAAGGTATTTGGCCGTTGGTGGCCATGGGATTTGGTGGCCAAATAGGGTGATCGTACCTAAGGATTGGTTAGGTTTAAGTATCCGACGAGTTTTTTAAAGGATAAGGGTGATAAGCGAGCACACAGTCCACCTGATGGTAAGTGGTTGCTGTGGCCCATAGACATCTTCATCTATCCTCGTTTGCAAATCAAAATGCAGAAGCGTTGCCACCCGTGAGGACTAAGATGGAATGCCTCGATTCCAGTAAAAAAAGGTATCCGGTTCTCTACACTCACCATACGAAACACAGCAGTGTTAAGCTGCTATTTGACGCTTGTATTCTGTGAGAGCGTGGTCCTTCCCCGGTCGAGCCGGCCCATTCGTACTACTATTAATATAGCTGCAGCATAGCTCTACTACGTATAAATTGATTGAGACGGGGGCTCCTTTGAAAGTATATTGCTACACTTTTCTCGGGATTTACTTCAATACTACATAAGCATAATCATATTTGAAAAAAAACAAATTTAAAAAAAAAATAAGCGAAACCGACCGCCTAAGCGATTTGCGGCTCTTTGAAGCATCTTTGTGAGGAATCTTTTGTGATAATGGACGACGATAAGTAACATGTCATCGGCGAAGAGAGCGGTATTGACATATGGGTCTTACGGGATGTCCCTCGTGTAGTGTAAAGAGGAGAGAGGAGAAGACGGAGCCCTGCGGAACTCCAGCCCTGAGGGGGCGTTTCGAGGAGTGAGTTCCCTCAATTCGATAGCAAAAATGGCGGTTGGCAAAAAAGGCTCTAATGATGTGATCGAGCCTATCAGACACGTTGAGTTTATACAGCTTGTTAAGCTACCCGTCGTGCCAAACTTTTTCAAACACTTTTGCGACGTCAAAGAAGAGGGCACTAGTGTTAAGGGTTCGGCCACCATTTGAGGCTTCTCCTACTTGATTGGGAGAAGTCCTGCAGAATGTACTCCGTAAGCAATGTGTCTGATTTGTGCACGAGTGTTCGGATCTGAAGCCGAACTGCTCGTCTGGAAGAAGCTTGTTAGCGAATACATATTTACGAGGGCGATTCAGTATGATTCGCTCGTAAACTTTCCCCAGTGTGCTGAGGAGACTAATAGGTCTATAGCTGGAGACTAAATTGCGCGGTTTCCCTGGTTTTGAGATTCCTATAACTTCTGTCTCTTTCCAATCGTCCAGAATAGAGCAGCTGAAGAGAAGAGCATTGAAAATGCCTACTAGATGGCAGACAAGTTTCGCTGAGAGTGATTTCAGGACCCTATTGCTAATGCCGTCGGGGCTGGGTGTTGTTCTTTAGGATCTAGGAGGTCGCCCGCAAGCGGTAGTGTAGACTTCTCTCGACCTCCGCTTCTGCCTCTAAAAGGTGAGCGAGATCTGTAGGTTGGCTAGAGGAAGTGCATTTTTGCTCTCTTAACCGTTCACGAGGCATTTAGCCTTTTCAGAGTCGTCAAAGTCGAGATCTGGGTTTTTTGGCCTAATAAGTGGCGGCATGAGTGGAGTTTGTTCTGCTTTCAAAGCTCGGGTAACTGCCAGAAGGCAGTTTAGGATGGCTCGATATACCCCAGTAGAGTGTCTAAATTCGACAAGGGCTGTTCCAACTCGTTTTGGAGGTTGCGTAGTCGAAATTTGCTTTCTATCGTGCGATAGTTATATGTATGTTCTTTTTTTATGTGTGTTACCTTTAAACTTTTTTCTATATGAACCGATTTCAATGATTCTTTCATTATTTGAAAGCTGGTGCTTCTCATGTGGTCCCATATAAATTTGATTAAGGTCTGACCAATAGTTTTTAGGTTGTTACTAATAATTTATATTGAAGTTACGAACGAAATTAAGAACAATTTTTTTTATTATTGCTCTAAGCAGCTGTCGAATATCTCTTGGAAACTTCGTGTGTTGGTTGCTCGATACCAGAACCTTACTACGAGAGCACTCTTTGACCGTTGAGGCGAGTTGGGTCAATAGGGTGCTAAACGTCTCATTGGCCTCCTCTGGCGAGTCTATCTTGTCTAGGATTTTGTCTAAATGTTGGGAGGTAGTAAACTTGAGTTTGACCTCGAGCTTATGCTAGTCCACAATAGTTTTGGTGTGATGGACCAGCGGGCTGGCTCAGCTGCAACAAGACTGGCCTGTGGTTTGAGTCCAAATTCCAAGATCGTCTCGATCGATGATATCGATAACGTGACATCCTTGAGTATCGCTACGTCAAGAATGTCTGGTCGTTGTCTAATAGAGAATGGGTAGCGTATTCGAGTCTCAGGCGTGATAACATCGAAGTTTAGTCGCTCCGTGAGACCGAATAATATCGTGCCATTCGTGTTATTAGCAATCGAGTTCCAGGAGGGATGCTTGGAGTTTAAATCTCCAGCTATTACTAACACTAGGGCCTAGGTTTAGCAAATTTGCAATATCTGGTTTTGGTTAGTGGCGGATGGTCAGTCAGAGATATCCTACTAATTGACACTTCTAAGTTTGTTAACAGGGGAACGTCGATCGGTACACAGTGCAAGGACATTTTGTAATAGAGCAAGTTGCCACTTCTACAGCTGGTCAATCTATTATTTCTAACTAAGGTGTAATTTGCGATCTTGGGATCGCGATGGCTAGGCTTCAAGGTCTCTTCTAGTAGAATAACGTCTACGCCATGGTTGCGCAGGAAGAGCGCGATCTTGTCTTTTTGGTTTCGCTGTCGTTAAAGAACGCGACAGTCAGAGAGTGTGGTTTTATTCTACCTAACTGTTGTACTGCCACTATGGTATTTAGTGAGGTGATTAAGCGTACTGGAAAACCCAGATTGCGTTGATGAGTCCTATATGCTCAATCGTAGCATTGAGCTTGTTTTGAGGGTTGGTGGCTCCGCGGATCGTTCCGACCAAAAAAGATAATTCAGAAACGTTAATGTGGCTAATATAGTCGCAGACTAGTGAGAAGTCAGCGACGAAGAAGAAAGAGCCTTGTGGAACAGGCTTGGGTTAGTCAGGTTGGGCTAATGGCCCTGTGAGGATGGCATTGGACGTAGGGCATAAAGTGCCGGAGGTTTCACCCAAGCGTTGGGTTTCGGCCCGGGAGGTGTGGGAATGCTTGTATCAAGGTACGAGCATTTCCCGTTGCCTGGATCTTCTGGTTCCGACGACGGGCGCGGCCTTGGTGATGGTTTAAATCAAGGATGGGGCACCGAGGATGATCCAGTTTTGGGGGCAGGCAGCCGAGAGCTAACACGCCATGGGGGCAGTGCGGTGGACATTTCCTTGCTTGACCTACACGTCCGAGACGGATTTTACCTCTGCGCTGTTTCCTTCACGGCGCTTAGGAACACCGGCGATAGTTAGCTGGGTGTCCCGATTCACCGCAATTGACACAGCTCGGAGGCTGAAACGTCTCGGGTGTACGTGTGCAGTCAGTAGTGCCAAATGTCCAAATGGACGATAAGCTCAGGCGCAGCCGCAACCGCGGAGCCGGCCGGAGGCGCAGGTACGATTTGCACTGTGCCAAAAACTCAGGCGAAATGTTGGAGCAGGCTCGACTAAAGAAGTCGGCAAGTTCATCGATAGTAATCGACGCCATCTTGTCTTAATATGCTAACACTAGTTGAGCACATATGTGTTGGTACACATATGTGCTCAACTAGTGTTCCACATTTTGATAAGATGTTATCGATAGTGTCAATATCTACAGAAATGAGGTTAGAATTAGAAGGATTTTACGTAGGTGTAATTATTTTAAATTCAATTCCTATACATTCATAACATTAATATTATAAAATGTGATGATTTTTTCTATCTATTTGTGTACAAATCGTTTGTGCCTGCTCAAAAAAAGCATTTAGTTTTATATATTGTACCTACAGGTTAAATGTATGATAATGAGGGATTTCTTTGTGAAGTAAGTTGTATTTAGGTACTACGCACCTAGTTATAATTAATTGCGTATATCAAACTCTTATTTTCTCTTTAACACCTGAGATTTCGCAAATACCAGCGGGATTTATTTCGTTCAAGAATGATGCCAGGCGCATATAGACCGAAAAGGTATACGTCAAAGAGTAGGTATATAGTATCTATATTTTTAATCGAGGTATTTACTCTCATTATCTTTACATTTCTGCCATGTCGAGGGAGGATCAATGTAAGTCTGGGGATTTCGATTCTACGAAGTCTATGACATACCGTTTTTGTACATTTGAGAACAATATTTTATCAAGCGAACAAATTAATATACAGCCGTGAACTAACCTATCACCTTTGTTAAAATCGTTAAAGCCATTTTCAAAGAACTAACTACAAATAAACAAACATATATTACTTGCTTTAAATCTACCGCGAAGTATAATCAACTTCAGAATCTGATTACAACAATAAGTGAAGATGTTCTACTTAAACTCACTTTAATTCGACATCGTACACCGAAATGTCAGCTAAAGAAGAGTATCGATATACCTGAAACAAAATTAAATAAATTAAAAAAATTTAAGTCATAAACACAGAGCCCTTCATAAAACGTTAAAGTTAGAAGTTAAAGTTACAGACTACATATATCACATAGCTGGGCACAGGCCTCCCCTCATTTCTGAGAATTTTAGGGCAAGGAAATGTCTTCCGCACTGCCTCAATGCGTGTTGGTGAATTTCACATGTCTTCGAAATTTTTTTTCTTAGGCATGCAAGTTTCCTCACGATGTTTTCCTTCACAGCCGACCATGTGGTAAATCAGCAATTAAAATTTGCAATTAACAATTTCATTGGTGCCGGCGGGGATCGAACCCGGGTTGCTTGCGTACTGTGAAATTTACATTGAGCGCTACCCATCTGAGCTAGCATGGCTCATAAAACGTGACTAATTGAAATTGACCGCAGTTCATATATTAGCATCTGCTAAAGTAGGTAGCTACATATTTATTAGGATTGCCTTGACACTTTAATAAATGTCATTGCAAGTACGCACGGATTATTATTATAATAAACCGATAAGGATGTTTAAATTCATATTTATAATCTAGCATATATACTATGTATACTATAGTAACAGGAGGCGTTTATACGTGGCAGAGCCATGCTGCATTCATATTGCGATTGTAGCACGAACGCGTGGGCTCAACCGTAGAAAGACCACATATTCATAGCAGCTTAGTGCTGGTGTATTTCATAATATGTTGAGTGTAGAGAACCGACAACTGTTTTTACTGGTAACGAGGCATTCCATCTTAGTCGTCAGGGGTGACAACGCAACTGCATTTTGATTCTTAATCGAGGATAGATATAGAAATCTATGGCCCACTTACCAGCAGGTGGATTGTGCTCGTTTTTCACCCTTCTTCAATAAAGAAAAAGCTTAGTATAGGTAGATAGATGCAGGTGGCTCATGACAGTGTTTGCTGGCATCGCTTGGGGGTAGCCTACGTTCAGCAGTGGACTTGAGAAAGGCTACGATATTAATGATCAAATGAAGAAAAGCACAGAGGAACTCTGTCCTAACTTACCTATTAACAGTGTCTACCTTTTAACCTAAATAAAACGGAGGTAAAAAAATTCAGTGTCAATAATTTTACTTTAAATAAAAAAGGAAAGACTTATTTAAAAAAAATATAATAATATAATAATTTCCACATAATAGTTACTGAAAGCAGGAAAAAGGAAAATCTCATAACTACTGGTATTCTTCTAAACACTACGTTTTAGCACCGACTTCATTTTTCATAAATTTTTTTTTTTAGCTGCAGAAGTCCACATCCATTTGTCAACATTTAGGGATATTATTTTTTCTTTAATTTTATATATAAACACCCGTGAAGTATAGTATACTTTTTCATTAAATAGGTTATAATATATGTATATAACCTATTTAATGAAAAAGGTATCATATACATCAATTCAGAATGTTCTCATTTTTTGCACTCAGCATAGGCACAATAATGATACAACCAGGGCCAGGCCCAAATACCAACAATTTACTCAAGACCTTCGCCGTTATAGCCAGACACTTTCACGCGTACGCAAGTAAAAACCGCATAAATATTTAATCCAATGAAATAAACCACAATTTGTGGATGACATACGACCAGTGAAATAGCACAAATGTGTTATTGACAAAGTCCAAATTATTAAAACAGAACCTGAGTTCGATTACCGTCAGCGTATAGCCATGGCGTCCTACGTTCAAGCAGCTTGGCATTCGGGCTTGGCAAGATGCTTGAATGTAGGACGCCCCCATAGATTGGCAGGCGGTTATGAAAACGCAGTTTTTCATTATTTTTACCTGTTGAGAGGAAGAGGATGCTGCCCATTTCTGTTTCATTTACCTTTGTTGCCTTTTACGACACCTTGGACATGATATATGGATTCTCTTCGCCGTTATTATACGGCGAATATACTGTTACTTAATTTTTTTTTTAAATTGGTACCTATAATTCTAAAAAGTTATTAAATTCACAGTAGATACGCACCTTCGTAATATTAGTAGCCAGTAAAAAATATTTAAGGTCGCTAGAGTACGACGTAACTGCGTAATATTGTAAACTGACCTGTGAACAAAAGATATTCAATTTAAATCCAACTGAATGGCTGTGGCGTAGACCATTGTTAGAAGGTTAATGTGACGGAGATTATTACCGAGCAGATAGAGCGCGCTACGAACCTAGTCATAAATATATTAAGTACATCCTTTTGTTCTCGAATTAAATGATCGTTCAAGTGCATGCTTTACTTGTACAATCAATTAGTGTTGCGAAACGTCATCACCACTTAAATTCATTACATTGTTTATAACGATTATTCCAAAAAATTTCAATCCTGATTAATTTGGATCGATCTTTTTTATATGTAATTGAAGTGACAAACACACTAAATCCGATAGTACCTAAGTGGCTATTCCAGCCCGTGGATACCTGCAGCCAACTTCAAACCTTCAAGCCTTTGAGGACTAAGATAAAATCCATAACGGCCTGTAATTATACTGGCCTACTGTATCCTCTAGAGCAGTGGTTCCTTAACCTTTCAAAGATTTAACCAATTATCGATGGTTCGACTATTATCTTTCAGATATAATATAATAGAAAAGATGCATCCCTTTTTTAAGGTCCTGTTGTACACATTGTTTTGTATAACTTAGGAAAGTTGTATACTTTTCTAAATTTGAGAGAATTGTATGCCTTCGTGGACCACTTTGGGTGTCTTTAGGGACCACCGATTAAGACTGCTGTATATTTTAAAGTCTAGACCAGCAAACAGAAACAGCAATGCAGGCACGGCTGTCAAGTGTGACAACTATGGCAAATATCCGCCCTATGAGGCAATCTATGGGGGAGGCCTATGCTCAGCAATGCACTTTAATAGACGGTAACTACTGAACTAAATTAATAAAAGCCTTTTATAAAGCGTATCTAATTAAGATAGATAATGTGTAAAAGTACAGTTTAAATGGGCTCTAACATAAATTTTCAGCAATTAGTACTCTTACACTTATTCACCAGAGCTCACGGACTTATCTCGACAGCAGGATTATAACCTGCGCCCTACTTTTGCTTCGGCACGATCATTAGACAATGTTGAACTTTCAAATATCATGTAAGAATAAAATAACAAAATTCGTTTCCATCTGTACAATTATTTTAATTTTCCCCAATTTTCGTAATACATTGTATTTTGAAACAGAATTTAAGTAGTTGTAAAGCAGCGGTATAGACATTTTATCATGATAATGATAAGTTTAAACACTGTCTAGTTGCGTAACAATTCGCATTTGCTGTACAACCTCCTTTGTATAAAGACTTTTGAAAAATTGAGCGTTTTGAAAATGTCTTCAGATGTTAGAATTCTGATTCCTCATCTCTCGATCAACACATCGTAGGTGACAATAATACGATTACCGTCAAGAAATATGTGCTTTAAATATATAATATTGTATATTTAATAATAATTTTAAGGTTTAAGTGGCACTGTTAAACAACAAAAATTAAAGCTAAATTATACCTATCTCATATGTCTTATACAATAAAATTGCAGGTGAACTCGAACTCATTGTCAGAGAGAAAGGAATAATCACAATGAATCCGGCTCGAGCACAGAAAAACATTTATACGTAACAAGCACATTCATACCTTTTATATTATTAATATGACTTTCCAAATCGAACAATTAATAAATACATTGCATACATTTAAAAGTTCAGAAATTATTTAAAAATTATCTGCAAAGCGGAACTGTTGATTACACGCACCCGTACGTACTTTACCAATTTTTAAAGTATCTATGATGTATTTGTTAAGCAATATCTACGAGGTTAATGACCAATTTAAATTAAAAAAAAATATATAGAGAGTATACTATCGTAGTAATCATACAAAATATAAATTTAAACCCGACTCAAACTTAACTGAAGTCTTCAGTTTATATTTTATATGATCTGATGTACCTAATATAAAATAGGCATGGCGGAATAAATAAATAAAATTATAATTAAAGAAAATTAAACCACTTACCCAATCTGTTTCATTCAATATCGTCACGAATGTGTCAGTGAGGGCATCGTACTTTCTAAAATCCCTTCTATGTTCCCTTACAATGTACTCAGTGTCTGAAAGTCGATAAAAATTATTCAAATTAAAGCCAATTTGACAAATGTTTATCGTTATTTATTTATAATATTAAAGTAAACAACGAGATGACTGTCGTAGCTAAAGAAGAATTATGTTGCGTTATATAATCAAGCAATATAATCACGAATGCGTTATCACCTCTGAGGAACAATGGTGACAGGGGTGACAATGCTCTGTGACGTTATTAATATGAAGCCGATTACAAAGTGCCCAATGACGTGTACAGTTAGATTGTTTATCAATGTAATATTAATATAAAAACCCATTGGTAATTGGATTATGATATGCCCCGTAGGTTATATCGGTGACGCTGCTTTTCCGTTGGGTTTCTTAATCAAGAATCTTATCCATCAGAAAAAGAGCAGCTATTGTCATTACTCATTAATCGACTTTCCGCTGGTGAAGTATCCACGTTTCGGCACAGAAGGAGACGCGCTAATTGAAAACTTTCGTCGTCATTCTTTGTGGTGTGGACGTTGAAGAAAGACCTTCCTAAATGCTGTTATTCGGAATTCTATCGGCTTCTTTCGCAATCCTTCCAAATTGCAATATCTACCTACCCAATTTGAAATAAATATGTATATTCCAATACTACTTAAAAGATGTCACCGTTGACAATTTTTGTTACTAAGTATTTTTGTGGCTAACTTGAATTGAATTAAATTTATCTCAATTGAATTGAATCATTCGAACAATTGAATTCAATTGACAACTGTCGATACTAAAACTCAATAACCATTGGTCTGACCTTGATCAAATAATCATAAATCGTCATATGAGACCACACGAGAACTTTCTTTAAAAAAAAGCTTTCATATAAAAAAAGAATCATCGAAATCGGTTCCCCCAGTACAAAGTTATGAGGTAACACATATTAAAAAAAACTTACACTCGAATTGAGTACCGTCTCCATTTTGGAAGTCGGCGGACAACTTCAACACAAACGAAAGATGTAAACAATTAGATTATTTTAAGAGGAAGTTAGACAGTAGGGTTTCTGTCATCTATTTTTATATTGCACTTTGCTTGTTATTGGTATTTAAAAATTGTAAAATCGTAAGCAAACGTAAAAAAAGATTTAAGCTTATAAAATACACGCATCGTCCTTCTTGAACAGATTATAACGGATCAACAAAACATATTCCGTTGCAGGTCATTTAAAACCACATGCGACCTTTTATAGTTATAACCGTTACATTACGTTGAAGGTGCACGCGCGGCACAAAACAAGCCTTTATGCAAAATGGCTTCATATGCATTAATTGTTTCTATTGTATGTACATACATTAACAATATGTTATGTACGTACATTAAAAATATTTTGAACACATGTGAAGTTTACCAACACGCATTAGAGCAACGCGGCGGCCACTTCCTTGCCCTAAAACCCTCTCAGAAATGAGAGGAGGCTTGTATCCAGCAGTGGGACGTATATAGGCTGTAACTTTAACTTAACTTTAACATTAACAAGGATATAGAGCCTTGGTAGCTCAGGTGCTAGACGCTCGCCGTAAATTACTGGGTTCCATACCCACCGACATTATGAAATTGTTAAGTTCAATTTTAAATGCTGATTTACCACGTACTCAACGGTGTAGGAAAACATTGTTAATAAACCTGCATTTCTAAATAATAAAATATTTTAAAGAACATGTAAAGTACTAGAACACGAGTTGGGCGATTTGTAAAATATATTTTACTGGTAACGTGGTGCTCCACCTTTATTATCAGGAGTAAGAACGCATTTGCAGTTTGATTAGCCAGCATAGATACTCAATTATCATCAGATGAACGGTGTGCTCATTTGTATCACATTTTTCTGGGGAAAAAATCACGTGGCGTGCAAAATATTAACCCGGGCTACCTTCAATTAAAAAAAAAAGGTAAAAATAATAGACACAAAATCTCTAAAATTATATATATTAAATGTTTTCGATAAAAACGTATTCGAGTAAAAGTAAGCAACCGTTATAAATTTATAAAATGATATATAATTTTTAATAGATTCAATTCTCTATGAGTGAAAGAAAATATGACAAAATATAAATAAGTTTAAAGAATAAAAAACCGGCCAAGTGTGAGTCGAACTCGCGCACCGAGGGTTCCGTACAAACCTGTAGGTATATAAGTAATTATTTAATAAAAATTATGTGATGTAAATAAAAATTTATTTTGGTTTTCGAAATTTTTCCTTTATGTGTGCTATAAAACGTTGCTTCATGCCAAATTTCAGATTCTAGGTCGACTGGAAGTATCCTTTAGGTTTTGATTCCCTTGCGAGTAGTTGCGAGTTTCAAAATATGCGGCTTAAATTGCTGTTTCTTTCGATTGCGTTGACATAGAAATTTGATTTTATTACAGCTTAAAGGTATTATAGACCTGAGTATTTGATATGAATTTCAATATAATACAACTACGCGTTCATGAGAAAAGGGATAGTAACTTTAAAAATATTTTTATTATATAATGTAACTAAAAATTTATGCTTTTCGCAATTTTTCCTTTATGTGTGCTATAACACGTTGCTTCGTACCAAATTTTAAGATTCTGAGTTCACGGGAAGTACCCTGTAGGTTTTGATTCCCTTGCGAATGTCGAAATTTTGCGGCATAAACGGCTGTATCTTTTGATTGCGTTGGCTTGGAAATTTGATTTTTTCACAGCTCCAAGGGACAGTAGAGTTGAGTATTTGATTATGAATTTAGGCTTGATACCTCCACGCATTCTTGAGAAAAAGGGTCTTGACAGACAGACGGACGGACAACAAAGTGATCCTATAAGGTTCCGTTTTTTCTTTTTGAGGTACGGAACCTAAAAACATAAGAATTATTTTCATGCAATTTAAAAAATATTATTTAAATTTAGGGATTGATTTCTCCATATATTCACGACATTGACCAGGAGAACATTATGATTGAGGCGTTATCAAGGCACCTACCGCGAACATTGATCTATGCCTGTGTAGGTACTACATACACCGCGACGATGTTATTATTGTGCCCTTACACACATGCATAACTCGACTACAGACTCGTCCGAACGTACCCAATAACATATTAGGCCGGCCACATACATACGGAATTCCGTTTCGGAATTCGGAACGGGTCGGCCACACACATACGGAATCTCGTTTTGCCCGCAAAATTTCGAACGGAAAACTACCGTACGTGTGTGACGGGTCATAGATTTTATATGAACTTGCTGCGTTCGGAATCTCGAATCGGAATATCGAAACGGAATCCCGAAACGGAATTCCGTATGTATGTGGCGGGCCTTATACTCTTACCTATGTATGTATCCGATGTAAATTAGATGGGTTAACAGCCCTACTACATTATTTTATATTAGGAGTCCGAAAACTATGTTTCTGAAAAAGAATTTAGGGGAATCTACTGTATTTTAATATAGCAAGAAGCTGTTGAAAAAGGCTCAAAGCAGAAAAAAATGACTTTTACAAATACAACAAACAAACAGTGATTCAAAACATAATTATCATCTTTAAAACTTTTTACAATCCACTGAAAATAGCCCAAGGAAGGAATGCCATCAAACACGGCCATATGACACCTGCATCCATCGACTTCCTAAAAATTTTTTTCGCCTTATTTTATATTTTTACATGTGACATCCTCAAAAATTATTTATTTGAAATAAAAACAGTTAGCGACCCGAGATGTGCCGCTTATGCGATGTTAAGTAGGTTATAATGTCTCAAAAATATTTTCGTGTAAACCCAAGGGCCCTTGGTGTATTAGCCAAGTACTCTGTGCTACAAAAAATAATGTAAATTGAAAATGTAGGTAAATAAAAATGTTTATCACGTAGCATTAAACCGGCTTCGGAATCTAAATGCGTATACCAAGATAACATAACAATAAATAAATATTTTATAAGTATAAAATTTACCTACTATGAATTAATAATAAATCAGTAAGCGTAACAGACTAAATATCTACCTGAGATCCACTCTATTTGAACTCGCTCTGGGTAAAAGTCTGCTTGTAAAGGCACTATTTCTTCTAAAGTGAACGTTTTGGGAACAATCGGTGCGAAAAATGAAGATTCGGTGAGGCAACCCATCAATGTCAACGAGACCAGCGTTACAAAAGTACGCGTCTGAAAAAGAAGCGATGTATTAAGAATATTACAGTTAACATAATAATATGTGCAAGGAAAGTTTTTTTTTTTTATATAATATTATAAAGCCATCGTTTCACTACAATCCCACCTGATGGGGTGGTGATGTAAGCCTAGGCGCTAAATCACATTAAGTTCTTAGCGACTAAATACATTCTAGCATATTAGCACAGAATAAATAATAGTTTAAACAATTCCTTTTTTTTATGGAAGCGGAAGCAATCCATCACATGACTGAGTCCTAAACACATTAATTAATGAAACCTCTAGAACATACTAAAAGTTGGTCAAGTCTATTTTTAATCATGCAAGAGGCAGGGTTTCGCAGTGCAGATTATCATAATGTTTTCTTATTAAAACTTGCTGGAGAATTTATTAAACTTTTTATCAAAAGTGTTGCACTATTTAAAAAGACATATTTCGGGCTAATTTAAAACTTGATATTTCGAAAATGACTTACGAGTGAGGTGGGGTAAGACTAACATAGTTTCCTAAGGGACAGAAACAAAACGATTTTTATAAAGAAGTTGTTTGCCCTACTTTTGAGTTGTAAATTATACTGATATATAACGATTAAATAAAATTTTATATAACTATAAAGATTTTTGCATAAGTGATTTCAAAACGGTAATACTAAAGAAAATTTAAAATGGGAAAAATTGTTAGTCTTCCCCTACCACCTGGGGTAAGTCTAACAGTAATGTTTTTAGTTTAACTTTATACAGTTTCTTTAAGAAAAATCGTAAATGTTAGCAGTACGAATTTTTATTTTGAATCTTATTTATAACGTCAAAGATTTCTCTTTTGAGTTCTTTGTATAAATATAAATAAGGTGCAAGACTAACATAAAATCAAAATCATGTGTACCAAATATTTATCTTCTAAATTTTTGTATGTATATATAATGTATACAACACAATTTAAACTCTTTATTGCTTTGCTCTTAAAATTTTGTTCTTTCTATTAAATTTCTCCTCGATAATATTAAGTATAGTTTCATCCAATTTCATTTGTGTACTTTATGGAGTACGTGGTAGAGCCATGCTGCAGCTATATTAGTAGTATAGTTGTAGCACGAATGGGTCGGCTCGACCGGGGAAGGACCACGCTCTCACAGAATACCAGCGTAAGATAGCAGCTTAACACTGCTGTGTTTCGTATGGTGAGTGTAGAGAACCGGTGACACTATTTACTGTAAAAGAGGCATTCCATCTTGGTCCTCACGGGTGACAACGCATCTGCATTTTGATTCGCAAATGGGGATAGATCTTAAGCTATTGTAAGTGCGTGATATCTGTGATTACTAATTAGTAATTACATAATTATTATTGGTATATGAAGTCATCGTTATATAGCTATCGTGCGCGCGTGTGGTACCGGATGCAAAGAATATCACCAACCCCTCTCTACTCATGGGTATCGTAAAAGGCGACTAGGGGGTTCACCCGAGGGGGAGTGGGGGGGGGGGGGCTTTAGCGTTCTTTTAGTATTAAATAAGCATTCTGCGAACAGTTACCAACCCGCTTCTCAAGCGTGGCAATTAAGGAAAATAAGCCCCTAGGGAGTAATATATGAGGAGGCCTTATATGCAGTATGGCAGCATATGGTGTAATGATGATGATAATAATAATAATAATAAGGCGCGGCTTTTTAAGCGCGCTTACCATGCATAATCGCGAAGTGTGCAGCCTCCGTAATTACTTTCTGACGAGAGCGGATGATCCATACTATAGGGACGTTATTTCTTGTGATAAAGGACTGACCCCTCTATCCTTAGCCAACGAGCAATGGCAAGACCCAGCAGTACAGTGCATTTCCGACCGGGAGGCCGTATGGAAAGAGAAGGAGCTCCACGGGAGGTTCTACAAGGCTCTACATGAGCCTTTCGTAGACACAGTCGCCTCCCTTCACTGGCTACGTTTCGGTGACCTCTTTGGGGAAACCGAGGGTTTTGTCTGTGCAATACAGGATCAGGTTATTAAGACCAACAATTATCGGAGATACATCCTAAAGGATGGCGCCGTCGACATCTGTCGAGCTTGTCGCAATCCCGGTGAGTCACTTAGGCATGTCATCTCCGGTTGTTCGGCGCTTTCTAACTCTGAGTATTTGCACAGACACAATCTAGTAGCCAGGATTCTACACCAGGAGCTCGCTCTGAAATACGGCCTAGTGGATCGGAAACTGCCGTATTATAAGTACTTGCCGGAAGCCGTGCTCGAAAATGACCGCGCCAGGCTCTACTGGGACCGGGCCATCATCACAGACAGGACTATTCTTGCGAATAAGCCTGATATTGTGCTGATGGACCGGGCACAGTCAAGGATCTTTTTGGTCGACATTACCATTCCTTATGACGAGAACCTCGTGAAAGCCGAAACAGATAAGGTGACAAAATATCTTGACCTGGCTCACGAGGTTACCGGCATGTGGGGTGGTCTGCCGGCCGAAATTATTCCTGTGGTCGTTTCTGCGAACGGGTTAATCCCAGTCAGCCTCCCGGGTCATCTGAGGCGACTGGGACTCCGTGACGGACCGCTCCAGGCTCAAATGCAGAAGGCGGTGCTCCTCGATACCGCCCGCATCGTCCGCCGGTTTCTTTCCCTTTCCCCCTAACCCTCGGCCGTCTGGTCTCCCCTGCCGAGGGCTTCCATCTGGTTGGGTTTTTATATATTTATGTATTTTTTATGTATTTATTTTATTTTATTCATATTTATGTATGTTTACCATTTTCATTTACAATTATATATTTATACTGCCCAACCAGATGAGAAAACTTTATAGATACCCCATAATAATAATAATGAAAATTAAAGTACCTAACCTACATACCCACTGTTGCGCACAGGCCTTTTATTTCTGAGATTATTTAGGAGCAGGGAAAAGTCTACCGCACTCTCCAATGCGTATTGACGGATTTCTCATGCCCAAGATTTCTAGATTTTCATTTAGCGCTATGTACAAAATATCACTTAAAATTGCAGTTAAATAATAGTTAAAATGGTGACTGAAGAATCGAACATAATTTACTCGCGCACTTAAAACCTGTTTCTATTATCAATATCTATGTTTCTTAATAGTTATTTAATGTAATCGGTAAATAGCTCCAGACAGAACGAAATTATAAAGGTTTTTGTATAGAAGCAAAATCCTAAAAATGCTGAGCATAATTCGGACGAAAATATTATGTATGTTTTTTTTTTACATTTCATTGTCCTTATAATGCGCACTTTAAACCTCACTTAGGTGATAAAAGCTAATGGACATCACCAAACCACCATATTTAAAATATATTATTTTTATCGTTGTTGTCAAAAGCATTTTTCAAAAACAGTTTTTGTGACCGTGATATTGATGAAATCGAACCCGAAGTACAGAGCCATACGGTTATAATTGTATCTGATAAATAAACCAAATGTGTTATTTCATTATCAAAAAGCCTGTTGTTTTGTTATTTCCTCACTCTCTCTCTCTCTCTCTCTCTATATATATATATATATATATATATATATATCTCCTACGTAGTTATTAGGTATTCTTACAATTTTTTATAGGATAGAGTGACAAGCGAGCACACAGTCCACCTGATTGTAAGTGGTTGCTGTGGCCCATAGACATCTACATCTATTCTTGTTTGCGAATCAAAATGCAGATGCGTTATCACCCGTGAGGACTAATATGGAATGCCTCCTTCCCAGTAAAAAGGGTCTCCGGTTCTCTACACTCACCATAAGAAACACAGCAGTGTTAGGCTGCTATTTTACGCTGGTATTCTGTGAGAGCGTGGGCCTTCCCCGGTCGAGCCGACCCATTCGTGTTAGAACTATACAATTAATATAGCTGCAGCATGGCTCTACCACGTATAAAACTTTATTTACATATTTTATTACATAGAGGTGGAGACTGCCTTTCCAATTTTCAGAATCAACTATGCTCTGTCCAATGCATTATCTTCAGTCAACTTGCAGCTACTTAGATATTTGTTCATCCGTCTTATTCTCGGTCTGCCCCGTGTTAGGAGGATCGTTCCATGGATGATCAGACTAATTTAGAAATCGTTGCTTTAAGTATCATACCTACCAATGCAACCTGATTTTTTGGAGCTTTTGACTAAGACATAGCGGTTAGCCACCGCAGAGACTACTTGACATGAGGATGCTTCATTTAGAGGCGAAACACGTGTCGTATTATCGAAGGTGGTGTGTCCTTTCTAGTGTAGTGGCGTTGGGAATAATAGTGCTGGGATTAGTGGTGACGGGGATAATGCACGCAATTGAGGAGGGCGGGAGGTGCTAGGTAAGACACATCATTTGATTTTATTACGTTGACCGTAGCTAATTAATTTTAACATTTATAGGAAGTAATATTCTTTGTCTTTCAATTATATTAGTTTTTTTTTAATTAGAAATCTTATTACAGAACTGAAAAAAGAAGAGTTATTATAAACTTGTATTTTAGCTGCCAACGCGCGTTAAAATTTAATTAAGCATATATATTTCGTATTATTTTTGTGCGATATTTTTAATTCATATAATATGAGAATATATGGCCATCAAGGCGTAATATCACTTACCATATTACGTGAATTAGCTTTAAATGTGTCGCAGGACGAGGGCTCGCTCTCTTCAATGAGAGCTAAACGGTTCAATCAGATGGCATCGCACACCGCTCACTCGTCAAAATCGGCGCGAACAGGCGCTGCAATCCGACACACAGGCAATCCGTAAGCCGCGCGAACACTCACTGTCACAGACTAAAATGCGCACACGCCACGCAATACCGAGACAACTCGCTACGAAGTACGAATGAAGTATTGAAGTAATACGAAAACGGGTTCTTGGCATCCAGAATCCTGATCGTAATACTCATCATCCAGGTCAAATGTCATGGAGGTAAAAATTAGGAGTAAAAATGTAAACAAGCAATTATAATAAGGCTTAAAAGATCTAAGAGTTTATTCTAAAAAAAGACAACAGCCTCTTACATGAGAAGAATACATAGGTAAACGTACTTTAAAACGTACATACGTAAACGTATTATTCATTCATTATAAAGAATAATATACTTATAATCAATTCCACGCAACGATTAAGTGTTCCGAATGTAATTAACAATAAATTAATATACTTATCTAATTTATCATAAAATGTTTACATAATAATTGTAAGTCAAAACTAAAAAAAAATTGCACATTGGATACGAGGGTTATTTGAAGTAAGTAATTATAAGACGTTCAGTTCAAATGCTGATAAAATATAAATTCATTAGTTATGGCTTCATGAATATATTTACTTAAAGTATTTAGCCACGAAAAGAAAATAGTATTTATTAATAAAAACAATATAAACTAAATAAACATAAAAATGTCATTCTAGGTACAACTATTATAGGTAAATCAAACAATGAAAATAACAAACTGAACCAATGACATTGTTATTTGGAACTTTTTTTTATAGGATAGGGTGACAAACGAGCACACAGTCCACTTGATGGTAATTGGTTCCTGTGGCCCATAGACATCTACATCTGTCCTCGTTTGCGAATCAAAATGCAGATGCGTTGTCACCCGTGAGGACTAAGATGGAAAGCCTCTTTTCCAGTAAAACGGGTCTCCGGTTCTCTACACTCACCATACGAAACACAGCAGCATTAAGCTGCTATTTTACGCTGGTATTCTGTAAGAGCGTGGTCCTACCCCGGTCAAGGTGACCCATTCGTGCTACATCTATACTACTAATATAGCTGCAGCATGGCTCTACCACGTATAAACTTGTGGAATTTCTGACTTACCACATACACGGCAGTGAAAGAGAACATTGTGAGGAAATCTGCACATCTCAAAAGATGTGAAGTAAGACATGTGAAGTCTGCAAACACGCATTGAGGTTTGTGGTGGATTCTTTCCTGTCCTGGAACTTTAACCCTCTCAGATATGAGAGGACGACACGAGTACTCCGCAGTGGAACGTACATATACTAGTATATTATGCTGATATTTAACTTTGACTTTTTCTATGATTAGATAAAGATTTTTTACCTACTTAGGCAACATGTATTTTAGCAGTTTGTAGAGCTAATCCTCAATTTCCTGCACCATGTCACGCAAACTTACTTCCCTTTTTGTCTTGAAGATAATGATGTATACTTATATAAACATTCACCAATGCAATCGAAGTATTTTCTGTGTTTTTAAATAAAACTAATTTTACGGATTTTATCGCGTATAGTAACTTATTTTTATATTCCCGACGTTTCTTTTATTTACGCGAACACTACACTGTTCGCGTAAATATAAGAAATCATTATTTTCTTTGTATTAGAGGATAGTTTTGGGTTTATTCTTTTCTACCTTCTTTCTTTCCTTCATTATTTAAAATGATATATCTTAAATTTTACCTACGTAAAAACGTATTCTCAGGAACACTACGCAAAAACTATCGGAACGTAGTGACAGTCACAGCCTCTTAAATCTTAAAACCTAATCTTAATATTTAAATGATTCTAATCTTTTCATAGGCAAAATTTTACTAATTCCATCACTACCTTTTTACTAAACGTGATGAGTGTGACGCTACTATTTTAGCTATTGAGGACCACAAAGTAACCTCAGGTACCCATTTTTTCACGGGGAAAAGCCTACGCATACTTACCTCGCGGCGATACGGTTACGCGCCACCTCAAACCCTAGCCACGGTGTACTATATTCGGCGCATATCAGTAGGAAAACGCTCGCATACATCCGCCGACGCACCAGCCACCCGCGATTGCCCACCCGTTGATGACCTCGCCACCGGAGAGGACTACTCGTCTCCTTATTCTCCTCCTAAGTCCACAGGTTTTTTTTTCTGTGCGAAGTGCTGGTGTTTCAGTAAAAGACAATTTCAATGATTTATTCAATAGAATTTTATAAATTGGCGCTTAAGTGCGCATACTTTTCACAGCGTCATAACTTTTACCTGTACAACACCGACATACCTCAAACTTTGTAGTTGTACCAGTGCTTAAGAATCCTTAGCTGATCCCCAAAACATTTAGCATCACCTGCAACAACCTTCATCTTATGATTGGAACATCAGAAAATATTAAAGATATTTTGTATATCAAACCCTATTACCTCTTCTAACAATACCAATCTATTGAGGATTTCCATAAAAAAACATGTTATGCTGTAATTTTATTGAAAAAATACTTTTTTTTTAAATATATAACTTAGTCTAACAAATAAACATTTTTGTTAATTAAATTCCTCTTCACCAGTTCAAATGATTAAATTTCCTGTTTCCAAATACTAAGTAGTTATTGATAAAATTATATTAATAATTTTTATTATAAATGATTTATTTCTTAAGTTCTTATCAAAGTCAGCTGCCAAAATGACTTAAAATTGATTTTTAACTAATACTACACGTGTAGTGGCAGCTTAAGAGAATTCACTATCCCATTATATCCCGTGGGAGTCGTAAGAGGCGATAGAGGAGCAGAAATGAATCAGGAGATCAGTAGCTGTATCACCCTGATAATAATAGCTCAATAAGCTGTAGTGAAATGAAGATGACTTGCAAAACGATCGGTTGTTTGCACTCAGTTAATCTGTGAAGCGGTTACAGTGACGTAATTCACGACAACAACTAGCGCCATTCCGCAGTTATGTGAGCGCATGTTATACAATACCTTTCCAATGTGTTCGGTGAATTATCATAAAATATTTATGTCCCAGATAAGAGTATTTCTGTTTTAAATATTACCTACTTTGTGCCAAAATAAGGACAAGAATCATCAAATCCGTATGAGCGCCTAACACATTGTTCACCACATCATTACCAACACTGTTCAGTAGACCGTAAGCTAACTTCGTTACAAAATACGTTTATTTTTAATAATTTGTGTCTTTATAATATTTGCCTCCAGTCATTTTTATCTAAATTATTTATTATTTTCACTTTTAAACCACCTGATGGTAAGTAAATGCCGTGGTCCATATAAAAAATCAATCTACATACGCGATTAAAAATCAAAACACAGACGTGCTGTCACTCTTGAGGACTAAAATGGAATGTCTCAATAACAGTAATAAGGGTATCTGGTCTGCTACACGTTATAATATTGGCTAAACCTACCATAACTAACACAGGAAGTGTTATAATAATAATAATATATAGGAAGTGTTATAATAATCCATTCCAAATGTAAGATGCAAATACAAGTAAATGTTGAAGACGAAATAAAAGTGTTATTATAAAAATACAAGAAATAAAAGAAGAAGAAGAAAGAACTAAAATTATAAGTTAATATTAAAATTGTCCCTAAAAGGGGGTTCGTACTATGTATATATTTGGGGTTGTCGCGATCGCGATGCACTGTACGCCAGTATTTTAGTACGGCGTTCTCAGGACACTCGTAGATTGTACCCTGAAGATTACGTACTCGCAGGTTAAACGCTGAGGATCTGGTTCGCAGAACTGCAGGTGCGGGACCAAATAACTGCAACCCAAGATCTAATAACCGCGATGTAATCGGGCACCCTGGTGTCGGCAAATATGCTCGACGCACTGTCAGAATGCGATATGTGTTATTATACAACATCTAATACTACGTGCAATTTTTTTGTTGTATAACCAAAGCTGAAAAGTACAGAAGCATTGACAATATGCTCTAAACAGGGTCAGCATTGCCTCAAGACTGCACCGAGCAAACCGGCGTGCGAGCATGTTACACCTAACAGCCAGAGTCTTCCGTTTGCATTTTATATCAGGGTTATCACCCAAATCTCCAGTCCAAGCACCTGAACAGATCCACTCTCGCAATAGGTACACCAGTCTAGAAACACGAACGGAATCCTCTCAAAGCCTCTGCCCGAGCGGAATATCATCACCTGCGTTTTATTTTAATTTTTACTTCAGCCAATGATAACGCGCATAATGTTTGCATTTTTTTTATAGGATAGGGTGACAAACGAGCACACAGTCCACCTGATGGTAAGTGGTTGCTGTAGCCCATAGACATCTACGTCTATCCTCAATAAAGACTCAAAATGCAGATGCTTTGTCACCCGTGAGGACTAAGATGGAATGCCTCTTTACCAGTAAAAAGGGTCTCCGGTTCTCTACACTCACCATACGAAAGACAGCAGCGTTAAGCTGCTATTTTACGCTGGTTTTCTGTGAGAGCGTGGTGCTTCCCCGGTCGATCCGACCCATTCGTACTACAACTATACTACTAATGTAGCTGCAGCATGGCTCTACCACGTAAAAAATATAGCTAATAACCTTCTGCCTTCCCCTGATTGAGTGACTCAGAAGTACCATGTCGTCAGTGTAGTTGAGATTATTCAAACAAATTCATCTTAGTCTTCACGGGTGGCAGCGCATCTGCGTTTTGATTCGTAATCGAGGTTAGATGTAGATGTCTGTGGGCCGCAGCAAACACTTACCATCAGATGGACTGTGTGCTCGTTTGTCACCCTCATCCTATAAAAAAAAATAGAGATAGCGTCGTCCCATTTCACAAGTTTTGTCTGGTTCTCGTAACATCTTCCTCGCACAACTTCCTTGTGGAATCGATTACCACCAGTGATTTTTCCGGACCGATACGACTTAGGGACCTTCAAGAAAAGAGCTTACTCCTTTTTAAAAGACCGGCAACGCACTACAATTCCCCTGGTTCCCCTGGTGTTGCAGTTGTTCATGGACGGCGGTAGTCACTTAGCATCAGGTGAACCGCTTGCTCGTTTGCCCCCTCTTATTTAA